CACATCACGGAAGGTTATCGTAGCACCTTGACTGTCGCGTTATGGAAGGCTATCGTAGCACCTTGACTATCACATCACGGAAGTCTATCGTAGCACCTTGACTATCACATCACGGAAGGCTATCATAGCACCTTGACTATCACATGACGGAAGACGTTCGTAGCACCTCGACTATCATATCACGGAAGGCTATATTAGCACCTCGACTATAGCGTTATGGAAGGCTATCGTAGCACTTGGACTATCACATCACGGAAGGCTATCGTAGCACCTTGACTGTCGCGTCATGGAAGGCTATCGTAGCACCTTGACTATCACATCACGGAAGGCTATCGTAGCACCTTGACTATCGCGTTATGGAAGGCTCTAGTAGCACCTTGACTATCTCGTTATGGAAGGATATCGTAGAACCTTGACTATCGCGTTATGGAAGGCTATCGTAGCACCTTGACTGTCACATCACGGAAGGCTATCGTAGCACCTTGACTTTCACATCACGGAAGGCTGTCGTGGGACCTTGACTATCACATCAAGGAAGGCTATCGTAGCAGCTTGACTATCGCGTTATGGAAGGCTATCGTAGCACCTGGACTATAGCGTTATGGAAGGCTATCGTAGCACCTGGACTATCACATCACGGAAGTCTATCGTAGCACCTTGACTATCACATCACGGAAGGCTATCATAGCACCTTGACTATCACATGACGGAAGGCTATCGTAGCACCTCGACTATCACATCACGGAAGGCTATCGTAGAACCTTGACTATCGCGTTATGGAAGGCTATCGTTGTACCTCGACTATCACATCAAGGATGCTATCGTATCACCTTTACTATCACATCACGGAAGGCTATCGTAGCACCTTGACTATCACATCAAGGAAGGCTATCGTATCAGCTTGACTATCGCGTTATGGAAGGCTCTCGTAGCACCTGGACTATAGCGTTATGGAAGGCTATCGTAGCACGTGGACTATCACATCACGGAAGTCTATCGTAGCACCTTGACTATCACATCACGGAAGGCTATCATAGCACCTTGACTATCACATGACGGAAGGCTATCGTAGCACCTCGACTATGTTATCACGGAAGGCTATCGTAGCACCTTGACTATCGCGTTATGGAAGGCTATCGTAGCACCTGGACTATAGCGTTATGGAAGGCTATCGTAGCACCTGGACTATCACATCACGGAAGGCTATCGTAGCACGTTGACTGTCGCGTTATGGAAGGCTATCGTAGCACCTTGACTATCACATCACGGAAGGCTATAGTAGCACCTTGAGTATCGCGTTATGGAAGGCTCTGGTAGCACCTTGAATATCTCGTTATGGAAGGCTATCGTAGCACCTTGACTATCGCGTTATGGAAGGCTATCGTAGCACCTTGACTATCACATCACGGAAGGCAATCGTAGCACCTTGACTGTCGCGTTATGGAAGGCTATCGTAGCACCTTGACTTTCTCATCACGGAAGGCTGTCGTAGCACCTTGACTATCACATCACGGAAGGCTATCGTAGAACCTTGACTATCGCGTTATGGAAGGCTGTCGTTGTACCTCGACTATCACATCATGGAATGCTATCGTATCACTTTTACTATCACATCAAGGAAGGCTATCGTAGCACCTGGACTATCACATCAAGGAAGGCTATCGTAGCAGCTTGACTATCGCGTTATGGAAGGCTGTCGTAGCACCTTGACTATCACATCACGGAAGGCTATCGTAGCACCTTGACTATCACATCAAGGAAGGCTATCGTAGCAGCTTGACTATCGCGTTATGGAAGGCTATCGTTGTACCTCGACTATCACATCAAGGAATGCTATCGTATCACCTTTACTATCACATCACGGAAGGCTATCGTAGCACCTTGACTATCACATCAAGGAAGGCTATCGAAGCAGCTTGAGTATCACATCACGGAAGTCTATCGTAGCACCTTGACTATCAAATCACTGAAGGCTATCATAGCACCTTGACTATCACATGACGGAAGGCTATCGTAGCACCTCGACTATCATATCACGGAAGGCTATCGTAGCACCTTGACTATCGCGTTATGGAAGGCTATCGTAGCACCTTGACTATAGCGTTATGGAAGGCTATCGTAGCACCTGGACTATCACATCACGGAAGGCTATCATAGCACGTTGACTATCGCGTTATGGAAGGCTATCGTAGCACCTTGACTATCACATCACGGAGGGATATAGTAGCACCTTGACTAACACATCACGGAAGGCTATCGTAGCACCTTGACTATCGCGTTATGTAAGGCTATCGTAGCACCTTGAGTATGACATCACGGAAGGATATAGTAGAACCTTGACCATTGCGTTATGGAAGGCTATCGTTGTACCTCGACTATCACATCACGGAATGCTATCGTATCACCTTTACTATCACATCACGGAAGGCTGTCGTAGCACCTTGACTATCACATCAAGGAAGGATATCGTAGCAGCTTGACTATCGAGTTATGAAAGGCTATCGTAGCACCTTGACTATCGCGTTATGGAAGGCTATCGTAGCACCTTGACTATCGCGGTAAGGAAGGCTATCGTAGCACCTTGACTATCGCGTTATGGAAGGCTATCGCAGCACCTTGACTATCACATCACGGAAGGTTATCGTAGCACCTTGACTGTCGCGTTATGGAAGGCTATCGTAGCACCTTGACTATCACATCACGGAAGTCTATCGTAGCACCTTGACTATCACATCACGGAAGGCTATCATAGCACCTTGACTATCACATGACGGAAGACGTTCGTAGCACCTCGACTATCATATCACGGAAGGCTATATTAGCACCTCGACTATAGCGTTATGGAAGGCTATCGTAGCACTTGGACTATCACATCACGGAAGGCTATCGTAGCACCTTGACTGTCGCGTCATGGAAGGCTATCGTAGCACCTTGACTATCACATCACGGAAGGCTATCGTAGCACCTTGACTATCGCGTTATGGAAGGCTCTAGTAGCACCTTGACTATCTCGTTATGGAAGGATATCGTAGAACCTTGACTATCGCGTTATGGAAGGCTATCGTAGCACCTTGACTGTCACATCACGGAAGGCTATCGTAGCACCTTGACTTTCACATCACGGAAGGCTGTCGTGGGACCTTGACTATCACATCAAGGAAGGCTATCGTAGCAGCTTGACTATCGCGTTATGGAAGGCTATCGTAGCACCTGGACTATAGCGTTATGGAAGGCTATCGTAGCACCTGGACTATCACATCACGGAAGTCTATCGTAGCACCTTGACTATCACATCACGGAAGGCTATCATAGCACCTTGACTATCACATGACGGAAGGCTATCGTAGCACCTCGACTATCACATCACGGAAGGCTATCGTAGAACCTTGACTATCGCGTTATGGAAGGCTATCGTTGTACCTCGACTATCACATCAAGGATGCTATCGTATCACCTTTACTATCACATCACGGAAGGCTATCGTAGCACCTTGACTATCACATCAAGGAAGGCTATCGTATCAGCTTGACTATCGCGTTATGGAAGGCTCTCGTAGCACCTGGACTATAGCGTTATGGAAGGCTATCGTAGCACGTGGACTATCACATCACGGAAGTCTATCGTAGCACCTTGACTATCACATCACGGAAGGCTATCATAGCACCTTGACTATCACATGACGGAAGGCTATCGTAGCACCTCGACTATGTTATCACGGAAGGCTATCGTAGCACCTTGACTATCGCGTTATGGAAGGCTATCGTAGCACCTGGACTATAGCGTTATGGAAGGCTATCGTAGCACCTGGACTATCACATCACGGAAGGCTATCGTAGCACGTTGACTGTCGCGTTATGGAAGGCTATCGTAGCACCTTGACTATCACATCACGGAAGGCTATAGTAGCACCTTGAGTATCGCGTTATGGAAGGCTCTGGTAGCACCTTGAATATCTCGTTATGGAAGGCTATCGTAGCACCTTGACTATCGCGTTATGGAAGGCTATCGTAGCACCTTGACTATCACATCACGGAAGGCAATCGTAGCACCTTGACTGTCGCGTTATGGAAGGCTATCGTAGCACCTTGACTTTCTCATCACGGAAGGCTGTCGTAGCACCTTGACTATCACATCACGGAAGGCTATCGTAGAACCTTGACTATCGCGTTATGGAAGGCTGTCGTTGTACCTCGACTATCACATCATGGAATGCTATCGTATCACTTTTACTATCACATCAAGGAAGGCTATCGTAGCACCTGGACTATCACATCAAGGAAGGCTATCGTAGCAGCTTGACTATCGCGTTATGGAAGGCTGTCGTAGCACCTTGACTATCACATCACGGAAGGCTATCGTAGAACCTTGACTATCGCGTTATGGAAGGCTATCGTAGCACCTGGACTATAGCGTTATGGAAGGCTATCGTAGCACCTGGACTATCACATCACGGAAGGCTATCGTAGCACCTTGACTGTCACGTTATGGAAGGCTATCGTAGCACCTTGACTTTCACATCACGGAAGGCTATCGTAGCACCTTGACTATCACATCACGGAAGGCTATCGTAGCACCTTGACTATCACATCACGGAAGGCTATCGTAGCACCTTGACTATCGCGTTATGGAAGGCTATCATAGCACCTTGACTATCTCGTTATGGAAGGCTATCGTAGTACCTCGACTATCACATCACGGAATGCTATCGTATTACCTTTACTATCACATCACGGAAGGCTATCGTAGCACCTTGACTATCGCGTTATGGAAGGCTATCCAGTGCCTTGACAGTTTCTGTTACGTGACTTGGAGCCTCGTCTGTCACGTCACACAAAACAAAACACTCGTTAAATGGTGAAGATCCGACATCTGAGAACACCATGCTAAACACTTTTCCAACACCTTGCAATGAGACCAGTGTGTCATAATGTTTATACGCAACCTCGTGTCAAATCGTTAGCCGCATATGTATCAGTTACAGTGTTTGTTTATCTTTTCAGGGGGCATATAACGGCGACTTGAGCGCATTGTGTTCCATGATGCTGTGCCAGGACCGAGAAGATCGGTGTGTGGATACATTTGCTGCAGAGGGCACAGAGTGTGGCGCCAGCATGGTACTTGAACAAACCACACTGTACACTAATAACACAATACACACCAGCAACATGGTACTTGAACAAACCACACTGTACACTCAACACAATACACACCAGCAACATGGTACTTGAACAAACCACACTGTACACTAATAACACAATACACACCAGCAACATGGTACTTGAACAAACCACACTGTACACTAATAACACAATACACACCAGCAACATGGTACTTGAACAAACCACACTGTACACTAATAACACAATACAAACCAGCAACATGGTACTTGAGCAAACCACACTGTACACTCAACACAATACACACCAGCAACATGGTACTTGAACAAACCACACTGTACACTCAACACAATACACACCAGCAACATGGTACTTGAGCAAACCACACTGTACACTCAACACAATACACACCAGCAACATGGTACTTGAGCAAACCACACTGTACACTCAACACAATACACACCAGCAACATGGTACTTGAACAAACCACACTGTACACTAATAACACAATACACACCAGCAACATGGTACTTGAACAAACCACACTGTACACTAATAACACAATACACACCAGCAACATGGCACTTGAAGAAACCACACTGTACACTAATAACACAATACACACCAGCAACATGGTACTTGAGCAAATCACACTGTACACTAATAACACAATACACACCAGCAACATGGTACTTGAGCAAATCACACTGTACACTAATAACACAATACACACCAGCAACATGGTACTTGAACAAACCACACTGTACACTAATAACACAATACACATCAGCAACATGGCACTTGAACAAACCACACTGTACACTAATAACACAATACACACCAGCAACATGGTACTTGAGCAAATCACACTGTACACTAATAACACAATACACACCAGCAACATGGTACTTGAGCAAATCACACTGTACACTGATAACACAATACACACCAGCAACATGGCACTTGAACAAACCAAACTGTACACTAATAACACAATACACACCAGCAACATGGTACTTGAACAAACCACACTGTACACTAATAACACAATACACACCAGCAACATGGCACTTGAACAAACCACACTGTACACTAATAACACAATACACACCAGCAACATGGTACTTGAGCAAATCACACTGTACACTCAACACAATACACACCAGCAACATGGTACTTGAACAAACCACACTGTACACTAATAACACAATACACACCAGCAACATGGTACTTGAACAAACCACACTGTACACTAATAACACAATACACACCAGCAACATGGTACTTGAACAAACCACACTGTACACTCAACACAATACACACCAGCAACATGGAACTTGAACAAACCACACTGTACACTAATAACACAATACACACCAGCAACATGGTACTTGAGCAAACCACACTGTACACTCAACACAATGCACACCAGCAACATGGAACTTGAGCAAACCACACTGTACACTCAACACAATACAAACCAGCAACATGGTACTTGAGTACACCACACTCAACATAATACACACCAGCAACATGGAACTTGAGCAAACCACACTGTACACTCAATACAATACACACCAGCAACATGGAACTTGAGCAAACCACACTGTACACTCAACACAATACAAACCAGCAACATGGTACTTGAGTACACCACACTGTACACTCAACACAATACAAACCAGCAACATGGTACTTGAGTACACCACACTGTACACTCAACACAATACACACCAGCAACATGGAACTTGAGCAAACCACACTGTACACTCAACACAATACACACCAGCAACATGGTACTTGAGTACACCACACTGTACACTCAACACAATACAAACCAGCAACAAGGTACTTGAGTACACCACACTGAACACAATACAAACCAGCAGACGAGACACAACACAATACAATGAACACAATACACACAAGCAGCATGGTACTTGAGTACATCAGGCTCAACACAATGCACACCAGCATCATGGTACTTTAGTACACCATACTCAACACAATACTCACTGGCAACATGGTACGTTAGTACACAACACAGTACACTCAACACAATACACACCAACAACATGGTACTTGAGTGCACCACACTCAACACAATACACACCAGCAACCTGGTACTTGAGTACACCACACTCAACACAATACACACCAGCAACATGGTACTTGAGTACACCACACTCAACACAATACACACCAGCAACCTGGTACTTGAGTACACCACATTCAACACAATACACACCAGCAACATGGTACTTGAGTACACCACACTCAACACAATACACACCAGCAACCTGGTACTTGAGTTCACCACACTCAACACAATACACACCAGCAACATGGTACTTGAGTACACCACACTCAACACAATACACACCAGCAACATGGTACTTGAGTACACCACACTCAACACAATACACACCAGCAACCTGGTACTTGAGTACACCACACTCAACACAATACACACCAGCAACCTGGTACTTGAGTACACCAAAATCAACACAATACACACAAGCAGCATGGAACTTGAGTACACCACACTCAACACATAACACACCAGCAACATGGTACGTGAGTACAACACACTCAACACATAACACACAAGCAACATGAAATCATCACTAACGTGATACACAACATCAGGAACATGCCGCACAATGCCAGCAACGTTGTACACAACAACAGGAACATGACGCACAATGCCAGCAACGTGGTACACAACAACAGGAACATGATACACAATACCAGCAACGTGGTACACAACATCAGGAACATGACGCACAATGCAAACAACGCTGTACACAACAACAGGAACATGACGCACAATCCCAGCAACGTTGTACACAACAACAGAAACATCACGCACAATGCAAACAACGCTGTACACAACAACAGGAACATGACGCACAATGCCAGCAACGCTGTACACAACAGCAGGAACATGCCGTACAATGCCAGCAACGCTTTACACAACAACAGGAACAAGACACACAATGCCAGCAACGTTGTAGAGAAGAACAGAAACATGACGCACAATGCCAGCAACGTGGTACACAACACCAGGAACATGCTGCTCAATGCCAGCAAAGTGGTACACAACAAACGAAACATGACGCATATTGCCAGCAACGCTGTACACAACACAAAAAGCATGACTCACAATGCCAGCAACGTAGTACAAAACACCAGAAACATGACGCACAATGCCAGCAACGTGGTACACAACAACAGAAACATCACGCACAATGCCAGCAACGCTTTACACAACAACAGGAACATGACACACAATACCAGCAATGTTGTAGAGAAGAACAGAAACATGACGCACAATGCCAGCAACGTGGTACACAACACCAGGAACATGCTGCACAATGCCAGCAACGTTGTACACAACACAAGAAACATGACGCACAATGCCACCAACGCTGTACACAACAACAGGAATATGACACACAATGCCAGGAACAGGGTACACAACCACAGGAACATGCCGCACAATGCCAGCAACGTGGTACACAACAACAGGAACATGACGCACAATGCCAGCAACGTGGTACACAACAACAGGAACACGGCACACAATTTCGAGCAACGTGGTAAACAAAATCAGGAACATGATACACAATGGCAGCAACGTGGTACACAACATCAGCAACATGACGCACAATGCCAGCAATGTGGTACACAACAACAGGAACATGATACACAAAGCCAGCAACGCTGTACACAACATCAGCAACATGACACACAATGCCAGCAACGTTGTATACAACAACAGGAACATGACGCATAATGCCAGCAATATGGTACACAACAACACAGGAACATGAAAAACAATGCCAGCAATGTTGTACACAACAACAGGAACAGGACGCACAATGCCAGCAACGCTGTACATAACAACAGAAACATCACGGACAATGCCATCAACGCTGTACACAACAACAGGAACATCACGTACAATGCCAGCAACGCTGTACTGAACAACAGGAACATGACGCACAATACCAGCAAAGTTGTAAACAACAACAGGAACATGACACACAATGCCAGCAACGTGGTAAACAAAATCAGGAACATAATACACAATGGCAGCAACGTGGTACACAACAACAGGAAACATGACTCACAATGCCAGCAACGTGGTACACAACAACAGGAACATGATACACAATGCCAGCAACGTGGTACACAACAACAGGAACATCACGCACAATGCCAGCAACGCTGTACACAACAACAGGAAGAGGACGCACAATGCCAGCAACGTCGTACACAACAACAGGAACACGACGCACAATTTCCAGCAACGTGGTACACAAAATCAGGAACGATACACAATGGCAACAACGTTGTACACAACAACAGGAACATGATACACAATGCCACCAACGTGGTACACAACAACAGGAACATGATGCACAATGCAAGCAACATGGAATCATCACTAACGTGATACCCAACATCAGGAACATGACACACAATGCCAGCAACGTGGTACACAACAACAGAAACATCACGAACAATGGCAGCAACGTGGTACACAACAACAGGAACATGACGCATAATGCCAGCAACGTGGTACACAACAACAGGAACATGACGCACAATGCCAGCAACATGGTACAAAACAACAGAAACATGACACACAATACCAACAACGTTGTACACAAAAACAGGAACATGATGCACAATGCCAGCAACGTTGTACACAACAACAGGAACATGATACACAATGCCAGCAACGTGGTACACAACAACAGGAACATGATGCACAATGCAAGCAACATGGAATCATCACTAACGTGATACCCAACATCAGGAACATGACACACAATGCCAGGAACGTTGTACACAACAACAGGAATATGACGCACAATACCAGCAACGTGGTACACAACAACAGGAACATGACACACAATGCCAGCAACGTGGTACACAACAACAGAAACATGACAAACAATGCCAGCAACGCTGTACACAGCAAGAGGAACATGACGCACAATGCCACCAACGTGGTACACAACATCAGGAACATGACACACAATGCCAGCAACGTGGTACACAACAACAGGAACATGACGCACAATTCCAGCAAAGTTGTACACAACAACAGGAACATGATGCACAATGCCAGCAACATGGAATCATCACTAACGTGATACCCAACATCAGGAACATGACACACAATGCCAGGAACGTTGTACACAACAACAGGAATATGACGCACGATACCAGCAACGTGGTACACAACAACAGGAACATGACACACAATGCCAGCAACGTAGTACACAACAACAGAAACATGACACACAATGTCAGCAACGCTGTACACAGCAAGAGGAACATGACGCACAATGCCACCAACGTGGTACACAACATCAGGAACATGACACACAATGCCAGCAACGTGGTACACAACAACAGGAACATGACGCACAATGCAAGCAACGTGGTACACAACAACAGGAACATGATACACAATGCCAGCAATGTGGTACACAACAACAGGAACATGACATACAATGCCAGCAACGTGGTACACAACAACAGAAACATCACGCACAATGCCAGCAACGCTGTACACAACAACAGGAACATGACATACAATGCCAGCAACGTGGTACACAACAACAGAAACATCACGCACAATGCCAGCAACGCTGCACACAACAACAGGAACATGACACACAATGCCAGCAACGTGGTACACAACAACAGAAACATCACGAACAATGCCAGCAACGCTGTACACAACAACAGGAACACGACACACAATTTCCAGCAACGTGGTACACAAAATCAGGAACATGATACACAATGGCAGCAACGTTGTACACAACAACAGGACACATGACTCACAATGCCAGCAACGTGGTACACAACAACAGGAACATGACGCATAATGCCAGCAACGTGGTACACAACAACAGGAGCATGACACACAATGCCAGCAACGTGGAGCACAACAACAGAAACATGATACACAATGCCAGCAAACGCTGTACACAACAACAGAAACATGATACACAATGCCAGCAAACGCTGTACAGAACAACAGGAACATCATGCACAATGCTAGCAACGCTGTACACAACAACAGGAACATGACGCACAATGCCAGCAACGTTGTACACAACTACAGGACCATGATACACAATGCAAGCGACGTGGTACACAACAACAGGACCAAGATACACAATGCCATCAACGTGGTACACAACAACAGGACCATGATACACAATGCCAGCAACGTTGTACACAACTACAGGAACATGACACACAATGCCAGCAACGTGGTACCCAACAACAGGAACATTACACACAGTGCCGGCAACGCTGTTCACAACAAGAGGAACAAGACGCACAATGCCAGCAACGCTGTACACAATACAAGAAACATGACTCACAATGCCAGCAACGCTGTACACAACAACAGGAATATGATACACAACGCCAGCAACGTTGTTCACAACAACAGGACGATGATACACAATGCCAGCAACGTTGTACACAACAACAGGAACATGATACACAATGCCAGCAACGTGGTACACAACAACAGGAACATGATGCACAATGCCAGCAACATGGAATTATCACTAACGTGATACCCAACAACAGACACATGACACACAATGCCAGCAACGTGGTACACAACAACAGAAACATGACACACAATACCAACAACGTTGTACACAACAACAGGACCATGATTCACAATGCCAGCAACGTTGTACACAACAACAGGAACATGACGCACAATGCCAGCAACATGGTACAAAACAACAGAAACATGACACACAATACCAACAACGTTGTACACAAAAAAAGGAACATGATGCACAATGCAAGCAACGTTGTACACAACAACAGGAACATGATACACAATGCCAGCAACGTGGTACACGACAACAGAAACATGATGCACAATGCCAACAACATGGTACAAAACAACAGAAACATGACACACAATACCAACAACGTTGTACACAAAAACAGGAACATGATGCACAATGCCAGCAACGTTGTACACAACAACAGGAACATGATACACAATGCCAGCAACGTTGTACACAACAACAGGAACATGATGTACAATGCCAGCAACATGGAATCATCACTAACGTGATACCCAACATCAGGAACATGACACACAATGCCAGGAACGTTGTACACAACAACAGGAATATGACGCACAATACCAGCAACGTGGTACACAACAACAGGAACATGACACACAATGCCAGCAACGTGGTACACAACAACAGAAACATGACACACAATGCCAGCAACGCTGTACACAGCAAGAGGAACATGACGCACAATGCCACCAACGTGGTACACAACATCAGGAACATGACACACAATGCCAGCAACGTGTTACACAACAACAGGACCATGATACACAATGCCAGCAACGTTGTACACAACAACAGGAACATGACGCACAATGCCAGCAAAGTTGTACACAACAACAGGAACATGATGCACAATGCCAGCAACATGGAATCATCACTAACGTGATACCCAACATCAGGAACATGACACACAATGCCAGGAACGTTGTACACAACAACAGGAATATGACGCACAATACCAGCAACGTGGTACACAACAACAGGAACATGACACACAATGCCAGCAACGTAGTACACAACAACAGAAACATGACACATAATGCCAGCAACGCTGTACACAGCAAGAGGAACATGACGCACAATGCCACCAACGTGGTACACAACATCAGGAACATGTCACACAATGCCAGCAACTTGGTACACAACAACAGGAACATGATGCGCAATGCCAGCAACACGAAATCATCATTAACATGATACCCAACATCAAGAACATGACGCACAATGCCAGCAACGTGGTAAACAACAACAGAAACATGACACACAATGCCAGCAACGTTGTACACAACAACAGGAATATGACGCACAATGCCAGCAACGTGGTACACAACAACATGAACATGACACACAATGCCAGCAACGTGGTACACAACATCAGGAACATGACACATAAATGCCAGCAACGTGGTACACAACAACAGGAACATGATGCACAATGCCAGCAACATGGAATCATCACTAACGTGATACCCAACAACAGGAACATGACACACAATGCCAGGAACATGGTACACAACAACAGAAACATGACACACAATGGCAGCAACGTTGTACACAACAACAGGACCATGATACACAATGCCAGCAACGTTGTACACAACAACAGGAACATGATACACAATGCCAGCAACGTTGTACACAACACCAGGAACATGATGCACAATGCCAGCAACATGGAATCATCACTAACGTGATACCCAACATCAGGAACATGACGCACAATGCCAGCAACGTGGTACACACCATCAGGAACATGACACACAATGCCAGCAACATGGAATCATCACTAACGTGATACCCAACAACAGGAACATGACACACAATGCCAGGAACATGGTACACAACAACAGAAACATGACACACAATGGCAGCAACGTTGTACACAACAACAGGACCATGATACACAATGCCAGCAACGTTGTACACAACAACAGGAACATGACGCACAATGCCAGCAACGTTGTACACAACAACAGGACCATGATACACAATGCCAGCAACGTGGTACACGACAACAGGAACATGACGCACAATGCCAGCAACGTGGTACACAACAACAGGAACATGACACACAATGCCAGCAACGTGGTACACAACAGGAATATGACACACAATGCCAGCAACGTGGTACACAACAACAGGAACATGACACACAATGCCAGCAACGTGGTACACAACACCAGGAACATAATACACAATGCCAGCAAAGTCGTAATTAACATCAACAGCATAATACACACTGACACCAACATGTTACACAACATCTGCAACATTCTACACGTCATCAGGAATCGCTTAATGGCAAAATAATGTCATTTGTTTACATTTAATCAGTTTATTACGTGAATACACGCCGAGAACATTAAATCATATATATTTTCAGTGGTGCTTGAGTGGCCGCTGCGTGAATGCAACAATGGGTATGTTTACTTTCCTTTGTTTGTGGGTGGGGTGGATGGGGTGGGGTAGGCTGGTTTAGCTTGGGTTTAGGTGGGGTGGGGTAGGCTGGTTTAGGGTGGGATAGGGTGGGGTAGGGTGGTCCGGGGGATAATTAACAAAAATCATTCAAATGCTCATCGAAGATATGGAAATATGTATACCGTATCGTGATAGTAGTTTATATTGTAGCATGAATATATTTCATATATTACTGTTATTATATGTCTTATTGTACGAGGGTGGATTGATAAGTTGTTTTTAGCCTCACGTAATATGACTTTGCCTATTGACGTTCAAATGACTTTTCAACATACTCCCCCTCCCACATTGATACACTTTTGCCAAAGATGTTGGAGAGATTAAATCCCCTTTTCGTAGACTTCCTTCTCTTGGTTGTCCAAACTTGCTCCACAGTTGACATAACGTCATCGTCCGAGTAAAAAAGGGTGCCGGCGAGAGCTGTCTTCATGTTTGGGAACAGATGGAAGACTGACGGAGCCGGTGTAGTAGGCTCAAACAACTCTCCCTAAATTTGACTCTAGGGTCATATGGGCCTATGCTTAAATGACTCTGGAGTCGTCTGAGCCTGGGGTGTCATTTGAGCCTCCTACACCGGATGAGGATAATATGTCGGGTTCTAAAGCTGTTCGAAGCCACACTCGTGAATTGAAGCCATGTCATTGATTGATTTCTGTATTGGCGCATTGTCCTGATCGATGAGCACAACTTTTCTCAGCTTCGCACGTCTCTCACTCTTAATTTCATCCAATAATTGCCTCAAAAGTGCAGCATAACATTCTTTGTTTATTGTCTAGTCTTTCGGAAGATGGTCCACCATGATGACACCCTAGGCATCCCACGCGGAAGCCATAATCTTTCCAGCTGATTGGCCTTTGCCATCTTTGGTGGCGATAATGTCATATGCTTCCCCTGTACATGTATTGCTTGTTGTCTGGACAGTGACTGGAAGTGGTGAACCCATGTTTCATTCATAGTCACAGATCGATGCAAGATACCACGAGACATGTTGTGTCATCTGAGTCATTTTATGAGATATCAGGAGCTTAGCACCCAAACGAGATGATACTTTCTCCAATGCCAAAGTTTCTGTTATAATAGATTGTACTCTCTCCTGTGAAATGCCTACTGAACTAGCAATATGACATTCTCCGATCGGTCATCACGAGACCGTGGAATCATCGGTTCATTTCTTGTGTTACTGACGAGACAGGCCTTCCAGGAATCGGGTCGTCTTTAAAGGGGCCGTCACACCATGACGTTCTGGTCAACGTTCTCTGAACATTTCAATCGTTCAATTTTTGAGCGTTCTAGAATGAGGATGACACATCTGGCGTGTGATTAACGTGTGCCTAACGCATGACTAGCGTGTGTCTAACGCACGAGAAGCGTGTAACAGCGACCAAGTAAGATACCCCTGAAAACCATTAGCGTATGCTAACGTGCCACTGGCGCGCGACAAACGATTTGTCAACGTTAGACGAGCGTGTTGAGCGTGTGACTAACGTGTGAATAACGACAGAATAGCGTCTTGCTGGCGTGTTATTTTTACGGTGCGCTATGGGACCGTTCAGCGGTCGTTGACAGGTCGCCAGTGAGTCGTTCAATGCAAAGCAAACGATTAGTAACAACCAAGTAACGCTAGAGTAACGACTGACTAACGATAGCCGAACGCGTGCAACGCTCGGCGAACGTTAGTAAAACGTTCCACGAACGTTATTAAACGTTCTTCAGCGTTTAAAATTAAACGTTGAAGAACGCTGGTCTCAGTGAGAACTTTCGTGCATGTTCAAAACTTTTTTTTCTGGACCAGCGTTCTCCGCCGATTCCCGGCGATCACCGACGTTCACTAGCGTTCACACAACGCTCTTCTGGCGCTATCCCAGCGACCATGGGCGACTACCAACGTTTCCTCAAACGTCATAGAACGCTGACCAGAACGTCATGGTGTGACGGCCCCATTAGGCTCTCTCTGCCACGCTTAAACTCGGTTGTCCTTTACGGTGGCCTCGGAATGATCATCCTTCTCTCGTGTTGTTCTCATATCTTTATGAATGGCCTTGGGTGTTAATCCCTTTTTTCTGCAAATTCCTGATCACTCCACGTTCCCAATGGTCACAGACCCCTTTTTATTTCACTGACTTGTCACAGGAAAATAATTTGTTCAATTTACTCAGGTGTTTGCGGATATTCTTCTGTGACCGCACATTATCAAATCAACCCGTGTAGAATAAACACGTAGTTCTTGTGACATTGCAGACTGTGGTACATGTCTGTCGACCTCTTCAACAGTGCCTCCTGCCACACGTTCGTCTTCATCTGTAGGCACTCCAACTTGCATGCCTTCAACACCCATATCCACGTCCCCATCTCTGTCCCCACCCACGCCTACGCCCATGTCCATGTCGACATCAAAGTCCACGTCCCCGCCCACGCCCACGCCCACGCCCACGCCTACACCCACGCCAACGTCCACACCCACGTCCACATCTACATCAAAATCCACGTCAACCTCCACGTCCACGTCCACGTCCACACACCTACATCTACCCACGTCATCATCGTTATCACCAGTTTCGTCATCATCAACATCCCCTTCAGCCTCATCAACGTTAGACATGTCAAGCTGGCTCAGTTCAACTGGAGATGCGACAACGTCCACATCTTCGCCCGCATATACTTCCGTTATAACCAGAAAGACATCCACGACGGTGAGCACAAGAACAATGGTGACTGGCAAAAAAACAACAGATGTCAAGATTTTCCCCGACACCACTGTGGCCAAGGAACAAGGCAAGTCCAACACTTACCCCGTAACTTCCTTTGTAATGTTCTCATTGTCTAGAAGTCATCATTAGATACTCCTCAAAGTGCCTAGGTAATTAAATACGCACTGCATGTGTGACCTTAGGTCACAGTTGTCCAATTTTAAAATGAATGAAACGAGGTCAATTTTGAACTACTTCCTGGATTTGGCTTTTTATGTTTGAAATAAATGACGTGTGGGAGTTGTTTGTCGTACAATGCCGAGTTTCATATCTCGCCCACCTTTAGATGCGATTGTTCGGCCATTGCGTTTATCTGCGTTGCGAGGCTACATCTATTTGGAACAACTCACTAGAAGCTTCTCTCTAAACAACGACGTCGTCAAATTTAAGACGTCTTCTTGTTGCGAGCGTATGATCGAATCTCCAGAAAAGACGTCATGATAGAACCATGTTTTGTCGGGAAATAAACCACGCTTCGTTCTTCATTGTACTTTGAGATTTATCTCGTAGCTATCTTATTTACTACAAATAATATCGCACGTGTGGAGATCGGTTATACAATGTGATTTCTTCATATTTCATAATTGTCATTTTCTGATGCAAGTTACTATTATTATTCCCAATATAATATGTCACTTGGGGACACATATTTTGGTTCTTTGATCCTTTATGAAGTTTAAATTATTTAAGTCAATCGCCATGGCCAAGTATCGCGTCTTTGTGAACATATAACCAGACATTAGAGACACTGGACAAGTATACAGGTTTTTGCCAAATAGATGCCAACCAAATGTTTAGCCAGCTGACCGTGTATCCTGTGCTTATCTCCAGGCAGTGTATCTGCAGTCGTTCTAGGTGCTTCAATTGGAGGCGTGGGTGTTGCAGTTACGATCACCGCCATCGTCGTTGTCATCATCTGTAGACGCATTCGGCTTAGTGAAGGCAAAGACAATGCACGCCATGCCGTCGAGATGACTTGATGACGTGCGTCCGAGAATGTCGTGCCTCGAGGAGTGGTCCACTATAGATGTGTGATCAGCATTGGGCACAGTGTTCCTCAGTTGATAATGAACACTTGATGAATGATGATGGTACTCTATATTAATTGCATCATGAAAAATGAACATGATACTATATTGTGTTCATGGTTTGATTATGAAAAAAATATTTGTAATAATGCTATTTCATAATAATGGATGATGAACTTTGGATGCGTGAACACGGTTATGTTGTTTTACGCTCTTATAAACTTGAGATGAATTACTCCGTTATTTGTTACCGGATTCTATGGTTTAATAAGCATTAAATCATAAACTTGAATTCTTTCGTCGTTTGTGTGTTACTTTTCAATATATTTTAACCGTTAGAAAACGGATTTCTAACATGATAGAAGATTGCAACTTAAACAATTATAGGACATTACAGAAAAAGTGTGATACAGGAAAGAGCAGAGGAGTAATGTGTTCATCTGCCACCTTAGTAGAATCACAGACAGGAGCATATAACACGACGTGACAGGAGTTGTCATCGACTGCACTGTATCAATACACGTCTGGTTGTGTATATTAATTTACTCGGTGCCTAACATATCGTTTGCATTAGTTGTAGAAAGAACAATTTGCAGTTGATTTACATACAGTGAACGAACCTCTGGCACAGGGAAAGCAATAACGTCCTAAATAAGGCAAATAATGAGTGAGTGAGTGTGTGAGTGAGTTTAGTCTCACGCAGCTTTGAATGAGGTTTCAGTTCTTTCACGGCGTGTCAACTTGATGTGAGAGGAAAGCCCAAAGTGATGCAGGTCTTCAACAGTTACCACTTTTGTGAACCTACGAACACGGGTATGGTGCTGACAAACCTAGAAACATAATCCGGGCGAACTGGGTTTGGATCACATATGTTCCTATCGTGCAAGAAGGGACGTAACACTGCATAGGTTCCATCAAGGACAACGCGACATTTTGACGGGTGGTTGGTGGATTGATGAGAGGATTGGCGAGACAGTTTCTTCTTGGTTGGAAATATCTATCACATATCAATAGTAGTTCATCTACCACGGCACCAAGGCTTCCGGTGTTGCAGAATAAACAGAAGCGTCCGTTATATGGAGTCTTTGTAAGGCGGTCACATTCAACTGTAAGTCTGAAGTTATTACACCCAAACATGGTTACCTTTTCCGTTGATAAGGGAGAAGGTCACAGGTAAAATAGGTAAAGTGATATAGAAAACTGAGAATATTAATTGTATTGAGATGAAGCGTCGAGGAAGTGATGCCAAAATTTAAAGAAGATGTCATAAAATCTCTGAAGATGTCCATGAATGATTATATGAAACCACAATGTTATGAGAGGACCGTGTATACTGACGGAAAAAAGTGACTGTGCTTCATATAAAGTGGTGTAAATGTTTTCTTATGGAAAATAACAAGATGACTTTGGTAATTCGTCTTATATATGTTTTATCATAAAAACTTCATTGACAAAACCCTTACCTAGCAACAGGAGACGGAGCGACGCACCCTGAACGCACAATGTCAATATCGGGTGTAACTACCATTTGCGTTAATACAGGCGAGTCAGCGTCGGCGCATTAAAGAGACCAGATCATTAGAAACTGTCTCGAGTAAGTTGTTCCAAACGTCACCCAAAGATTGACACAAATGAGCTAGCGTTACCGACTGGTTCTGGTCCTGTCGTAGGCGTCGACCCAACTCATCCGCGATATGTTCTATGGGGGAGAGGTCTAAAGAAAAAGCCGGCCGTGGCAGCATAGCAATGCATTGCTGCCTCAAAAAGTCTGTCACAACACGTGCAACATGTGGGCGGGCATCATGCTGTTTGCAACGTGACATTACGTCCCTACTTTTGCACAGAGGGTGAAACCTCGACTCATCTGTGAAGAGTATTCTGTACCCAGTCTTGTCTTTTGAACCTCAAATGCTGTCTACACCAAACTAGGCCTGCCTGGCGGTGACGTGGAAGCACAATTGGGCGTATCGCTTGACGTCGAGGACGCATGCTCCCTCAACCGTTTGCGTACGGTTCTGCCGCTAATTGATCTCAACCCAGGAATTGCCCCAGGTGTTAATGTGGCAGTTTGGTATCGATGCCGTAGATGGATCAACCGAATTTGGTTGTCTTGTTGACGTGACATGATTCGTGGACGACCGGCGCGTGGCAAGTTATGAGTGTTGCCCTGCTATAGATAACGTCTCTAAAGAGATGATAGTGTGTTTCGATGAACATTAATATGTCTGGCGTGTTTGTGCCATTCCTGTTTGCACCATATTTACGTCTCGTAGACGTTGATTTTCAGCAAGCCGTGGTATTGCGTATTTAGGGTTAAATAAAACTCTTTAATGAGCACTTGGTAGCTAAACAATCATTCTGTGCTGTTCACATTAAACTAAACACACGTGTAAATATCATGCTCCCAACAAACACGCAAACATCCAAATTGTGCGCCGTGCATGAACATGAACATGCAAGTTGTGAATCAGGACCTTAAAGTCGAGATGTCTTCAGGAATACATACACCTCGTCAAAAGTATCGCACCGACAAATCTGAAGCGTAATTGTGAGTTCATTTTCAATGTAGAGATTTTCAAATGGTAACTGTGTGTTTCCCCATCATCTGCCTGTAGATGGCAGCTAACTTAACTGCCCAACCTTGTGGGTGCGTTTATGCGAACCGTAGGCACACTGAAGGGGTCTCTATAGATAAATTCATGTTTGATAAAAAAAAAAGTTCATGCGTCTTTACTGCTACTAATTTTGAATGAAAGTTCTACCAATTTGAAATCCTGTCTTGGGAACGATTGTCACTGAAATGCCTAAGTGTATTATCCCATAAAATCAAAGATGGCAAATCATTGGCATGCACCAAACTGGCATGACAGGTCGGGCTATTGCCACCTCGTTGAACAATAATCATGCTGTAATCAGTCGACTCATCAGAAAGAACACATTGACTGGACATGTGAGGCACGAGATCAGGACGTCCACGCAAGACCAGTGCCAGAAAAGACAGGGACGCCAAGCTACCTCGTCATCACTGGCCTACCAACAACAGAGTGTCCCTTAGCACCCTCAGGCGTCGACTGAATGCAGCAGGATTTGGGGCCAGAAGACCAACAAGACGTCCCCTCCTCTCACCCCCAACACATGCGGAACACTTTAGCCTGGTGTCAGGTTCGAGCACAATGGAACTTAGGTCATGGAGGATGATTCATTGATCTGACGAGAGTCGGTGTTGACTGCACGACACAGATGGTAGGACTCTTGTCTGGAGGCATCCTATCATCTGTGCATGTGATAATGGTATGGGGATGTTGCTCCTTTGATTGTAAACCTGATTTGGTCACAGCTCAGAGGACATTAAATGGACAAGGTACCCAGATACCATAACTGGCGGTTTTGTTGTGCCTCATTTTGATAACCATGCATTTACCACACGTCCTGTCTTCATGGATGACAATGCCCGACCCCAACGAGCACGAACTGTGACTGACAACGCCGTTGAGACTCTGCCTTGGCCTTCTCGAAGCCCAGACCTTAATCCAATCGAGCATCTATGGAATAAGTTGGGACGTAGGGTTAGAGCCAGGGACCCTTCAGTACAGAATCTCCAAAACTTGACCCAGACTTTGCTTTAGGAATGGCAACACATCCCTCAGTTTAGGATCAGACGTCTGATTTTGAGCAAGAGGGGACGTGTGGCGGACCTGATCCGTTTACGGAGTGGCTACACCAGATATTGACTTACCATTTTTTTTACAATGATTCTATCCATTACGAGATTTGATCAATTTAATGGTATCATATTGCGAGAGAATGAGATACTTTCAGTTTTCTCAGGGCTTAACTTCACTTGCCAAGTTTTCGCCCAGTTGGAGGTTTCGGTCAGATCACTGTTTAACGCTGAAGCTGCGATGGCTGGGTTTTTAACATAATTTTCAAGGACATATCGTCAGCAACAAGTCTAATATTACTATTTATATTATCAACTACAACATTGATGTAAATAAAGAACAGCAACCTGGCAAGTACAGACCCTTGTGGTACTCCAGCCGGTAGAATGTTTAATTTGGATTTGTTTTCTATCCATCAAATAACTTTCAAACCCTATGACCTGTGTCCGGGTGGCTACACCAGATAGTGACACTGTTGAACATTTAACTGTCACACGCGTACAACTTTACTGAGCGGGGTACTTGTTGAAATGTCCATCCCATTCTTGACAGTTACCATACTTATGCTCTATTCATCCCCAGTTACAGTCCTTGTTGTCGCTTGGGAATAAAGTTTATTCTATGCTAAAGTTCATTGTTCTTTTTATTCATCACATCTTATCTGACATTATGTTACACTTTTGATTGCCTTTGTGTTGTTTTCCAGCTTCTCCTCGCCCATATCTTTTCTGATTATTAGACAATCTTGGTTTAGCGATACTGTTAGACATATTGAAAGAAGCATTATTTTATCCCAATCTAATGTTTCGTTATATAACTTTATATTGAGTGTAGTTACTGTTTCCGCTAGTATATGGTTAAATCCATAAATTGGCAACTTCCATATTGTCGCTGGACAGTAAAAACTGTGATTTCACCCGAGCACATTAAGCATGATTTAGCTAAGATTTTATCCAATTTAATTAATATCGTGAACTAAACCTAACTTGCATCGTGCACCGAATGGTTTTTTTTAGGATGTGTATCAATGTGTAACCTTTGTCTGATGTATATATTTTAAGATATTTAACAAAACAAAAACTTACGAGTTGATGGTAGTTGGTTTAGCATTGACAAGATTGTTGCTTTTCTATGTGAGCTGACTGCCTCGGTAGTTGTAGCTTGACAAAACCTTTTGGCATACCATGGTCAAACCAGCATGCATCATAATATCAATCTCAAATGCTTCATTGTTTAGGAACCAAATATGCCAGCAAGAACGATTTGTCTAGCCACGTCAAGACGTGTAACAGAAAGTATAAGTATGCCTGGTTCAAGTGGCCAAGTCCGACATGACGGTACACACTGACAGTGCCCACAACATGATGGTGTGCCGATGTCCTCAGGGTAACACAGGCTACAAGTGGCGATCCTCCTTTAGATGACACTTTGAACATGGACATCTAAACTTATGCCCCTTACGTTTTCCTCTAAGGACAGACAATCTTTTGTTATACTGCAGTTTACCTTCCATGACATTATATATATTTTTGCCAAAGACAATGTTTTTTCGATATGTTTGTGTTATGTGCCAAACGTTGAACTGCAATAATGAACTGTTTGCTTGGAGGAGATCACATCACTTTATGTCGTGTTTATTTTAGCACATGGATACAATTTGTGTTGGTTGTTACACAACTTGTACATATTAGTAGATTATGCATCAAACAAAGCATGTTATAACCGTAAAGTTCACTAGAATGTATCTAGAAGGGCATACATAGCATGCTGCTATTTCTGTTATCTGCTTCTAACCTAATGCACTCTATTATGTGCTCTACAATTATTGGAGGAAATAAAGCATGTCTGTCTGTCTGTAAGTTAGCCTAGTCTATATTTGTGCAACACACGTATTGCTATTGAGTTATGAAAAGACATATACGACCCACCTGAAGAAAGGGGACTTTATGGGTGCAAGGATACAATTGCAATGTTAACGTTAACTTTCTTCAGTGAAGATCGCCATGTGTGCAGACTGTAAACAAATATCTTATTTTTCTCTCGTTAGTTCATAATGTAATAAAAACATTATTTCAAAACTTTTCAGCATACATGTCTACTTTTAATTTATCAGACTTTAGGTCTGCAATTATTACATAAACAGTTATGAGTCCAAATGTTTGATGTCATGTATCGCTGTAAATAATTCAATTTTCGTTGTTTTCATTGTAATTCCTGCATTCTGATTAGCTGAACTGGTCACGTGTTAAGCCACGCCCACCGAAGCGGACTACTTTTATTACTACGGAATGTCGGGGAATCCCAATATTACAGTCGAGGTAATTCCCTTTCTGCTCATGTGTTTCGTCATGCACAGGACATTTAGCGACATTCATGCATATTCATTATCCAAACTACCCTTTGAGGCCGGAGGCCGCGAAGGAATGAAACAGCAAACGTGCTGTTGTCGTTGTCGAATTTAATGATAAGGTTATCACTCGAGTGTGTTTTGAGATGGTAAATATCCTGTATAAGGACACAAAAATGGTATTCGGCGAACTCTGGTGAGCTAAATACATAGTGTTTATTCCTAAAACCGGATTTACCATCCAAAAATCTCAAGCGCAATAACCATGGACGGTCATTCGGGTAAAAATACATCAGTTGAAATAAAGGTACCTTTACCAGTACCGGTAGTACATAATAATAGTTAAATGTTTACGAATTAATAACTGGTATTTAATGTTACGAATAATCAAATACCAATTAGAAACGCATAGACCCCATATGCAAGAAAGATCAAAGTGTACTAAAGAACGTTAGTGCACGCAAAAGGACACTAAAGTCCAAAGGACAACATTTACAATAAAGAAAGCCAGATGGCGTTAAATTTGTACAACATTCAGAGTTTAATCGGCTTGTTTCGTTGTGTACGTGGTAAATGCATGCAATGAGCTACACGACGCGGAGGTGCACTGAATAATGAGAGAGAGAGGGGGAGAGAGAGAGAAAGAGAGAGAGGAGAGGGAGAGAGAGAGAATGAGAAAAAGGAACATATAGTGAACATGCAGATATTTACATTTTCTATATAGATATACATTTGTTGAGACAGTTTAAATAGTTGTGGGACATTTCTTTGCAAATTTAGCAATCTTACATAATAAGGGGACGTATTCAGACATTAGTACGTATCTACATCGGTAGGTAATATATTCGAGAAGTGTACAGCTCGCTCTCTCGCTCTCTCGCTCTCTCTCTCTCTCTCTCTCTCTCTCTCTCTCTCTCACACACACCTAGAAATCTACATCGGTAGGTAATATATTCGAGAAGTGTACAGCTCGCTCTCGCTCTCTCTCTCTCTCTCTCTCTCTCTCTCTCTCTCTCTCACCTCTCTCTCTCTCTCTCTCTCACACACCACACACACACACACACACCTAGAAATCTATATCGGTAGGTAATATATTCGAGAAGTGTACAGCTCTCTCTCTCTCTCTCTCTCTCTCTCTCTCTCTCTCTCTCTCTCTCTCTCTCTCTCTCTCTCTCTCTCTCTCTCCTCCCTTCTTTCACACACACACACACACACACACACACACACCTAGAAATCTATATCGGTAGGTAATATATTCGAGAAGTGTACAGCTCTCTCTCTCTCTCTCTCTCTCTCTCTCTCTCTCTCTCTCTCTCTCTCTCTCTCTCTCTCTCTCTCTCTCTCTCTCTCTCTCTCACACACACACACACACACCTAGAAATCTACATCGGTAGGTAATATATTCGAGAAGTGTACAGCTCGCTCTCTCGCTCTCTCGCTCTCTCTCTCTCTCTCTCTCTCTCTCTCCTCTCTCTCTCTCTCACACACACACACCTAGAAATCTACATCGGTAGGTAATATATTCGAGAAGTGCACAGCTCGCTCTCGCTCTCTCTCTCTCTCTCTCTCTCTCTCTCTCTCTCTCTCTCACACACACCTAGAAATCTATATCGGTAGGTAATATATCGAGAAGTGTACAGCTCTCTCTCTCTCTCTCTCTCTCTCTCTCTCTCTCTCTCGTCTCTCTCTCCTCTCTCTCTCTCTCTCTCTTTCTCTCCCTTCTTTCACACACACACACACACACACACACACACACACACACCTAGAAATCTATATCGGTAGGTAATATATTCGAGAAGTGTACAGCTCGCTCTCCTCGCTCTCTCTCGCTCTCTCTGTCTCTCTCTCTCTCTCTCTCTCTCCCTCTCCTCCTCTCTGGGTGGGTTTACGATGACGTACAATGTACAATCTGAGATTCATTCATGTGCGTGACTTTTAATACATGCCTCAAGTAGTGTGACGATATGTTTGACACTTGCAAAAAGCCAGGACATGATTTGAATAAATTACTTAATTAAGAAGGCAGTGGGGAAGTTGGAACCAGCAGAGTTCGACTTGCCACCTACAGGGCAACATGTGGAGGGAACACCTACCTGCCTGCACCCTGTATCTACTGTGTGTAGTCTGCACAGCTGAAGACCGTCACCGGAGCGATGGGGAAACTAGCTCTCTCATGTACTTGGAGAACCTTATCTCTAAGTACACCTCCGGCACTGCTCTCTCCAGGGGTGGGTTCTTGGCCATGTATGCTAGTCTCCAAGTAAAGGACCTGGCGCCAGATCATGTCGAACATGGCCACGATGAAGCGCAATGGTGCCAACAGATGTTTCTTAACTCCTCATGCACTGACAAGGTAGGAACATATACACAGGTGAACTATCTGCGCTCAGAGAACTCGTTTTGTCTTATAGTGCTCTTTGGCTAAGAAGCTTAACTTAAGCTAAGGTGTATTGGTGGTCTGATATCGTTCAATAATGGTAAAATCGCAAATTCCCTTCCACTGATGTACCCCGCTAGAATTATAAGAGACCTCATTTGTTTTATATTTAGGTATATGCGTAAATATATACGATGAAAGTAAAACCAGCCACAAGGCTGTACGATGGGGGTGACTTCAAACTTTCCAATAGCCAGCTCTCAATTTAGGGGCGGACCATTTGATTTCTAGGGGGGGGGGGGGGGGGGGGGGGGGGTGGGGTAAAAAAACCACAATAGCCCATAATACTGTGCAAATAAAAAACTCCATCTGCTAAATAAAAATCGCATCCTCAATAAAAAAGTCTCTACCAAAATATGGCCATCCTCATCAATACAAAATATGTCGTGAGAAATACCATAATCTTCGACATCGAGACAAGACGGACAGTATGCATGTAACATATATCTATTAATCATAACAGCACCAGTGTCAAGGATGTTACATATATTGTCAACAGACATGTATTATCAACATCGTTACAAGGAGTGCCGTGAATGAGAGCAAAAACTATGATATTGGAGGTGGCGTCAGCTGTTCAGTAATCGATCAACCATTAAGACTAAAACCAGCATATGAAACTCCATTTCACACTTCTGAATGTGACAATTGTCAGTCAGTACGATGTATGCCCACCACGGGCATCAGTGCACGCCCCAACTCGGCAACGGAAGAAGATGTTAGACGTCTGATGACAGGGTTACAGATACCGCCTTGACAGGGCTACAGATACCGATTGACAGGGCTACAGATAACGCCTTGACAGGGCTACAGATACCGCCTTGACAGGGCTACAGATACCGCTTGACAGGGCTAAAGATACCGCTTGACAGGGATACAGATACCGCTTGACAGGGATACAGATACAGCCTTGACAGGGCAAAAGATACCGCCTTGACGGGGCTACAGATACCACCTTGACGGGGCTACAAATACCACCTTGACGGGGCTACAAATACCGTCTTGACAGGTCTAAAGATACCGCCTTGACGGGGCTACAGATACCGCCTTGATAGGGCTACAGATACGGCCTTGACAGGGCTACAGATACCGCCTTGACAGGTCTAAAGATTCCGCCTTGACAGGGCTAAAGATACAGCCTTGACAGGGCAAAAGATACCGCCTTGACGGGGCTACAAATACCGTCTTGACAGGTCTAAAGATACCGCCTTGACGGGGCTACAGATACCGCCTTGACAGGGCTACAGATACGGCCTTGACAGGGCTACAGATACCGCCTTGACAGGTCTAAAGATTCCGCCTTGACAGGGCTAAAGATACCGCCTTGACAGGATTACAGATACCGCCTTGACAGGTCTACAGATACCGCCTTGACAGGTCTACAGATACCGCCTTGATAGGTCTACAGATACCGCCTTGACAGGGCTACAGATACCGCCTTGACAGGGCTACAGATACTGCCTTGACAGGGCTACAGATACCGCCTTTACAGGTCTAAAGATACCGCCTTGACGGCGCTACAGATACCGCCTTGACAGGTCTAAAGATACCGCCTCAACAGGGCAACAGATGCTACCTTGACGGGGCTACAGATACCGCATGCCTTAGTTACAGATACCGCCTTGACGGGGCTACAGAAACCGCCTTGACGGCGCTACAGATACCGCCTTGACAGGGCTACAGATACCGCCTTGACGGGGCTACAGATACCGCCTTGAAAGGTCTAAAGATACCGCCTTAACAGGGCTACATATACCGCCTTGATAGGGCTACAGATACGGCCTTGACAGGGCTACAGATACCGCATGGACTTAGTTACAGATACCGCCTTGACGGGGCTACAGATACCACCTTGACAGGGCTACAGATACCGCCTTGATGGGGCTACAGATACCGCCTTGACAGGGCTACAGATAACGCCTTGACGGGGCTACAGATACCGCCTTGACGGGGCTACAAATACCGTCTTGACAGGTCTACAGATACCGCCTTGATAGGGCTACATATACCGCCTTGACAGGGCTACAGATACGGCCTTGACAGGGCTAAAGATACCGCCTTGACAGGGCTAAAGATACCGCCTTGACAGGATTACAGATACGGCCTTGACAGGTCTACAGATACCGCCTTGACATGTCTACAGATACCGCCTTGATAGGTCTACAGATACCGCCTTGACAGGGCTACAGATACGGACTTGACAGGGCTACAGATACTGCCTTGACAGGGCTACAGATACCGCCTTTACAGGTCTAAAGATACCGCCTTGACGGCGCTACAGATACCGCCTTGACAGGGCTACAGATACCGCCTTGACGGGGCTACAGATACCGCCTTGACAGGTCTAAAGATACCGCCTTAACAGGGCTACAGATGCTACCTTGACAGGGCTACAATACCGCATGGACTTAGTTACAGATACCGCCTTGACAGGGCTACAGATACCGCCTTGACGGGGCTAAAGATACCGCCTTGACGTCGCTACAGATACCGCCTTGACAGGGCTACAGATATCGCCTTGACGGGGCTACAGATACCTCCTTGACAGGGCTACAGATACCGCCTTGACGGGGCTACAGATACCGCCTTGACGGCGCTACAGATACTGCCTTGACAGGGCTACAGATACCGCCTTGATGGGGCTACAGATACCGCCTTGACAGGGCTACAGATAACGCCTTGACAGGTGTAAAGATACCGCCTTGACAGGGCTACAGATGCTACCTTGACAGGGCTACAGATACCGCATTGACTTAGTTACAGATACCGGTTCGACATCTTGAACGCAACAACGTCACGTGACACAAATTCGCCTATCTGCTTGGAAAAGCTGGAAATCTGCCCTCTCCTGTGAACGTTACTCTTTGCTAGTTTCTCCCCACCGATGTTGGTGTTCTGGTGTCAGCGTTACGTCTCGTAGTGGTCTGCAAGCTCTGTCCAGTGGCTGACTGAGGCCGTCACCGTGATGGTGCGATTACTCAGATGGAGGATACGTATCTAGATTTTTCCTGGATATCGAATGAACTATCGTGTTCCTTTTATACGCATATCTTTGTGGGTTGTCATGCTGTAAGTGCAGTCAAAGTTTCACTTCAAACTCAAGTTCCACTGAGCTTCTGTAGCAGGAGTATTACTCAGCTGCACGTTTTGGTTGTGTTTGGCGATTGATTCTCAGTTAGTCATTTTGTAACACTACTCGGGGTTTGGACCCAACGTGTCCAAATTTCAGTTTCTTCGTCAGTTTACATCAAAGGTTATGCTATTTATATCCATCATCCACAATCTTAGTAATTGCAAAGTACATTCCTCGAGCAGTTGTGAGTACAAACACGTTAGGTTGACCAGTTTTCTGCCAATCTAAAGAAAACTGCACACTTGGCTCTTCGTACACATGGTGTTGTGTAATATGGTCTTTCATATTTTATCAATAGATATAATTTGAAATTTTACGTAAAAGAATCTCAGCTCTCTTTTATGAACCAAAAAAACATATCAGCCCCTAAAAATGAGAAACAAACCATGACGCTTCCCAAACCACGCCCCAACCCTTAAATAGCAAATGGTCCGCCCCTTATGTCGAGCAATATTTGAGCAGCTCCAGCCCTTGGTGCCACCATTTCACAAATTTTGGGGAACAATCGAACATGTTCTTTCTTCGAAGATTTCAAAGGACATCATACGACTTTGGATCAAAAGTTGTTAATCATGGACACAACATTCATGGCCTCAGTAAAACTTTCAAAAACTTTTATGTTATGCATGTGGATGACATTTTCAAATTTGACACAAAAGTGAATATTAAAAACGTCAACTCAGGGGTTTAATCAGTCTCCATTATCTGCCCAAGAAGATTCCATTGGGCGTAAAAGGCAAAATAGTTGTACAAATTATATGAATGGATCTCTAAAAACCAGCCATGACACCAGGTGTTCCCGAAAAGGGTAAGCATGTCTTGTTTTGACGCTAGCACACGCCACTTATAAAAACAAAACAAAAAACAATAATTCACTATTTTGACATTTGGCTTTTTCAGGTGAACAATTGACTTGCCTTTTCATGTGTTTATGACAGTTACAAACGATGAGACAGGTTTCGACCACCTTTCGCGGTCACCTTGTATCTTCTCCATTTAAACATGATTCAAAAACACATATTCGTCCTGGTACAATGAACTCTTTGATTTCTCATGATTATGGAAAGGCTTTGTCGCTATGATTGGTGTCTAATTCCTACAACTTGCCTATCACTTACACGTTTCAATGTTTGGTTTTCGGTACACACGTGGTCAAAGACTTCCAGAAGATTACGGAATCGTGGGTGTCGCCTACACCGTATCGGTATTGATCACAGTTGAGAAGCGTTTGACTTTTTCACGGCAAGCACAATATCACATGGTATTTTATAGAAAGTATAGAAGACCTTATTTACAAAGTGAAACTCTGCTACATTTTTTAATTGTTAAAATTTCAAAGTTGTCACATTAAGTTTGGTTCTACAAACCTTTAATACATATTCTGGCACAGATCAATTACATACGATTATGTGTTTCTGAGTTAATTTCCCTGAGAGAAGAAATGCCAAGATGTGCAAATGTGGTGCACACAATGATAAGAAATTGTCGATGGGAAAGTAGGTTAAGGGGATACAAAGACGAATAGTAGCTTGAGGAAGCATGCATAAAGATACATGCTGGCTAAATGCCAAATGACGTCAGGCCATCATCTAATCTTTAGTTTGGACACAGTTGGACGATGGTGAAGGCTCTTGTAGACATTCGGGTAACAATTGACACTTGACATGACAGGGTTTGCAGGGGAGTGAGTGACATGTTTCACATTGACACGCATCTTCAACAGTTCTGCATTGACACAACACCAACAGGGCCATAGAAAGACTAAATCTGTCAGTGTGAAAAATGTTCACGTACGTATTAGACTCCGTGGATAAAGAACATCAGACTACTACAGAGTTCCCCTAAGCAGACGCTGCCCATGAGATGCCCCAGGCTCTCAATTGGAAGTAACAAAGCGCTCAGTCAGCACAACTTGATACTGGACCAGCGCAACTGACCAACTGATCCGGTCAGAATGTATTGACCACCCTTACGTCATGTGGTCATTTATCATGAATCACGTTCCACATAAACTAGCCTACTTTTAAATTACCGGGCGTGACTTGATTTCTATTTGTAATGTTCATTTTGACGGTATCGGGTTGCAATAGATGTTGTCAAACGTCACACAGCCGTCTTTAAATGGTCAAAGAAGTCCTGTGTATTGGGTGTGCATGCACACTGTCTGATCAGTTAAACCTGTCCTGTGTTCACCAATAGCGATTTGAGAAATGAAAGGGAAACAATCCAGGTGATATCTGAGAGTCATGGCGCGGATGTCATTACTCCGGCTGTTCTGCAAAGCCGCTTTCTCGGATCCGTGAGATGAAATTGATACTTGTATCCATCACGTTTCGGAACGTTTTAGACAGGAAATAACAGAACTTAAATAAAGACATAACCACAGCCTTTATTTTGGCAATTTCAGGACACAAATATAAGTTAGGGCTATTTAAACTTTGTTTTTGCATGATGCAACTAAATAAACTGACGTCCAAAAGAAACATTACCAGAGTTTGAAATCACTCTTGCTCAAAAACAACAAAACATACATGCATGAAGTAAAGTGTATTGAGAAGATACATATATCAACATAATCAACACTGAAAATGACAATCATACCGCGACCGAGAATGACGTCAGAGCCCCCCAAAGTTGGGTGTGGTACAAAACTCGAGCTTTCAGAATCATGGACAATAGGCAGAGTACATAAACAATCGCTCACGTTCAATAACAAGTCATTAGTAGCGTGTGTGACCACCAAATGCCTTAATACACGCAAAAACTCTTCGACGCACAGAAAAAGTCAGTCGTCTGATGAGGTCATTCTTCTTGGAGGGCCAAGATCAGTTCTTGCCGGTTGGCTGGAGAGTGTGGTCGTTGTCGAACACGACGATCCATCAAGTCCCAGAGGTGTTCTATGGGGGACATGTCGGATGAGCGTGCAGGCCACGGCAGGACGTTGACGTTGTTGGCTGCGAGGAAGTTAGTGACAATTCTGGCTGTATGGGCTCTAGCGTTGTCATGCTGATAAATGACACCACGTGGCTGCTGTTGGAGAAATAGTAGGACAACTGGACGAAGAATGTTATCCATGTTACGCTGAGCTGTCAAGTTTCCGTCAACGATGACCAGCGGTGTCCTCTCCTGCTCACAGATCCCTCCCCACACCATGACACTCCCTCCACCATATGGTACGACCTCCTGCACGCAACACGCCGCCGTTCGTTCACCCCTTCGGCGGTAAACACGTTGTCTTCCATCAGCCCTAAACATACAGAATCGACTTTCGTCAGTGAAGACAACCCTCTGCCAGTCACGTCGTTGTCAACGTCGTACAGTCCGGGCCCATCTCAATCGCAGACGACGATGTTGCGCTGTCAATAGCTGTCCTCTGTATGGTCTAAAAGCCCTGATTCCATGAGCCCTGAGTCTCATGGCCACTGTCTGTCGACTAACCCTGTGACCTAAGGCATTTGTCGCCGATGACGTCACTGTCAGGAAGCGATTTCGGAGGTGCAAGGTACGCAAGTACCGGTCATCATGGGGCGTGGTCACCCTGGGTCTGCCTGTTCTTGGCCTGTCAGCGGTCCGCCCTGTCTGTCTGTAACGTTGCATCAAGTTGGTAACGGCAACACGGGAGCAACCGAAGGTTCGTGCAATATGGGCGTGGGTCGCTCCCATCTGTACCATACCCAAGGCTCGTTCACGTTGTTCGACTGTGAGTCGTGGCATTTCTTTTGTGTTTTTTTTTATCACTGTAGATGTCTTACTTGCCGTTGCAATCGTTTTATACCCTTACACGCACGTGCATTTGCAGTTGTCCGTGGTGCACGTGTTTTTCACTTTTTCGCGTGTTATCTCGCAAACATGTAACAGACGATTAACATTTTCTGCATACACTATTGTTGTATTTAGGTTATGTGTTTTAGATAGACTTCATCGGGAAAAAAATTATACTTTGTCTGAAATTTATATTTTCAGTTGGTAAAGTTTCTGCCAGAAAAAAAGGGTTTTTTTGCATATTAACAGTGTAATCTAAATTATTAAGATGAAACTATGTTCAATGTGTAAATGTTAATTATGCATAAAGTATAAATATTAAATATGCACAATGTATAAAAAGTAATTATACGTTATGTATAAATATTAATTATGAGTAATGTATAAATGTTAATTATCCACAATGTATAAATGTTATATATGTACAATGTATAATACAGTAGAACATGAATATAACGAACTACAAGAGGCCGGAGAAATCAGTTCGTTATATACGTTGTTCGTTATATTCGGAAACGTCCGCCATCTTGGATAAAAGTAAAACACAATACACGTAATTGCAGCATTGACTTGTATTAAAAGTGATTACTTCATAGCATTCAATGAATTACATTTCATAATATTATTTTTATAAAATTAAATCATTCATCATATTTTTGGAACATTGTTCATGAAATATGTATAAAGCATTTTACGATTTACATACGGGAAGATATGTAGTCGGTGATTTTGCTCTGGCCTCGTTTTGCTGACTGCACTCGTGAAACTGCCACAACGAGATCATCCAAAGTATCGAATGATGTGTGTTTCTTTATTTCACTTTGCGGGTAGGTAGGGTAGCATAGTGGGTACAGCGTTGGCTCGTCACGCCAAAGACCTGGGTTCGAGTCTCCATGAGGGTACACTATGTGACCCCTGAAGAGAGTACAACTGATACGTGTTTATTGTCTCCTTCAGTGTGGCACTGGCGAAGATGTATTCACCACGTACGCAGTGGATTCTCACCTGAACGCGTCGATGCTGCTTGACGCACTTCCAGCAGTGGTCATGTCCCTGGAGGCGGACCACTGCAGACACATGGGAGTCCATGGTTTGGGGGAATCCAGACATCGTAAGAAGCCATCGCGAAAGGAAGGTGAGAGCCGTCTGAATGATTCGTGTTTTTCCGTAGTTGTATGCGTCATCTATGAACATTGTTTAGTTTACGAGATGAGAACAGATAGACGGGCGGGCGGCAGGCCGGACAGACAGACTGACAGCTTGCTTTAACATTTATAACATTGATAAGGATATCTCCATGCCTCCATTTTCAATAGTTTTAACAAATATTTCAATAACTTGACCGAAAAGAAACAATAGATATCAACCCGTTTCACCCAGAACAGCCTCATTTGAAACATATATTTACCTTCATCCATAGAACAAATGTACCTTTTCATGACGTCATAATCCTTCATTCCCCAAATTTTTAGAACATACAATAAAATAAGTGCACTTTTACAGTTCACAAAAGTGAACAGGCTCTTGAAAACGTTATTTACATATTTTGTTAAAGAACAACAACCTGTTCACTTTTGTGACTGTAAACTTGTACTTATTTTATGTTCTGAAATTTGGTGAATGAAGTATTTTGATGTCATGGAAAGGTATGTTTATAAAGAAATACACACACCCAGTACAAACCACCATCCAGCCACTACTCTCCAACCCCCAGTGCACACCAACATCCAGCCAAAATTCTCAAACCCCCAGTACACACCAACACCCGGCCAATACTCTCAAACCCCCAGTACACACCAACACCCGGCCAATACTCTCCAACCCCTAAGACACACCAACATCCAGCCACGACTACTCTCCAACCCCTAGTGCACACCAAAATGTAGCCACTACTCTCCAAACCTTAGTGCACACCAACATCAATACACTAGTCTCCAACCCCCAGTGCACACAAACATCCAGCCACTACTCTCCAACCCCAAGCACACACAAACACCCAGCCAATACTCTCTAACCTCCAGTGCACACCAACATCCACATTCGTCGCCACTCGCCTCTTTCCGTAACCTGCAAGAAGAATCGTCCCCTTATCGATGAATGTTATGTACGAAAATACGACAAACCAATCAGAATGCGCGTATGATTTCAAGTTCTTCATCAAAGAATCCCTCAAAAATAATTTCTGTTTTTACATATGTCTTACATCTAAAGATATACCCAAGACACAGTTAAATGTGTTCAATCATACTATATAATTTCGCATGTCCTGATGTGCTTTTAATTGCATCTGAAATATAAATGATATATGGGGAAATGTATGTGAACCATTGTGCAACGAGTTGACAATTGTTTCAGGTATGCCCGTTTGCGCTCAGACGGAACCCGGTCGCAAAAATTGCCACGAGAGGGGCACGAGTCGCTATTCGGCTGGTCCCGGAATAACACGAGTTGGTCACGAATGCAACATCCAGACACTACTACTCTCCAACCCCAAGTGCACACCAACATCCAGACACTACTCTCCAACCCCTAGTTGTCACCAACATCCAGTCACTACTCTCCAACACCAAGTGCACACCAACATCCAGTCACTACTCTCCAACACCAAGTGCACATCAACATCCAGTCACTACTCTCCAACACCAAGTGCGCACCAACCTCGAGCCACTATTTTCCAACCACAAATACGCACCAACAAACAGCAACTACTCTCGAACACAAGTCCAATTAAACAAAACGGTAGTATTTAAATCAAGCCACAATCATTATAACCAAGAACGAACTACAACAACCAAGCAAACCTTTGGCAACCTCATTCCACCAAACACTCCACCCCAAAACACTACGATTACACCCTGTTTAACAATTTACTAACTATCTTATTACCATCTCATCAACACTTAAATAACTTTGTAGGGTGCTCTGTTGCAATTTATCTTATTCTCGACTGTCAATATATTTTTACATGGGGCATTCCTTGTACTAAAGCATTCGTCAACACTGAATACTTAAGGGAACTTTGAAATAGCAAATAATGTTCAGAATTGTACTCCAACCTTTAATTAATAATATCACGATTATACATATTGTGAAAGCAAACATATGAATTAGTATCACGAAACACATTCAGCTCAAATAAAAGCAAATTTGTTTTTAGTTTGGGCATATGGGGTTGGCTTTGTGGTCCTCATCTGCTTCGTTTCCAACCTGGGTGCCTGCCTAGCTCCACTGATGAACTCATCCTTCTTCAAAAAGTTGCTCATGTTCCTGGTGTCTACAGCAGTCGGCACGTTAGCCGCAACAGGGCTACTAGTCCTCATCCCAGAGGTTGGTATGTAAGCCGCAACAAGGCTACTAGTCCTCAGCCGCAACAAGGTTACTAGTCCTCATCCCAGAGGTTGGTATGTTAGCCGCAACAGGGCTACTAGTCCTCATCCAAGAGGTTGGTATGTTAGCCGCAACAAGGCTACTAGTCCTCATCCAAGGGGTATGTGTGAGCCGCAACAAGGCTACTAGTCCTCATCCCAGAGGTAGGTCTGTTACCCGCAACAAGGCTACTAGTCCTCATCCCAGGGGAAGGTATGTTAGCCGCAACAAGGCTACTAGTCCTCATCCCAGGGGTAGGTCTGTTAGCCGCAACAAGGTTACTAGTCCTCATCCCAGAGGTTGGTATGTTAGCCGCAACAAAGTTACTAGTCCTCATCCCACAGGTAGGTCTGTTAGCCGCAACAAGGTTACTAGTCCTCATACCAGAGGTTGGTATGCTAGCCGCAACAAGGCTACTAGTCCTCATCCCAGAGGTAGGTCTGTTAGCCGCAACAAGGCTACTAGTCCTCATCCAAGATGTAGGTCTGTTATCCGCAACAAGGTTACTAGTCCTCATCCCAGAGGTTGGTATGTTAGCCGCAACAAGGTTACTAGTCCTCATCCCAGAGGTTGGTATGTTAGCCGCAACAAGGCTACTGGTCCTCATCCCAGAGGTAGGTCTGTTAGCCGCAACAGGGCTACTAGGCCTCTTCACAGAGTTTGGTATGTTAGCCAAAACAGGGTTACTAGTCCTCATCCCAGAGGTAGGTCTGTTAGCCGCAACAGGGCTACTAGGCCTCATCACAGAGTTTGGTATGTTAGCCACAACAGGGTTACTAGTCCTCATCCCAGGGGTAGGTCTGTTACCTGCAACAAGGTTACTAGTCCTCATCCCAGGGGTAGGTCTCTTAGCCGCAACAAGGCTACTAGTCCTCATCCCAGAGGTAGGTATGTTAGCCGCAACAAGGCTAATAGTCCTCATCCCAGAGGTTGGTATGTTAGCCGCAACAAGGCTACTAGTCCTCATCCCAGAGGTTGGTATGTTAGCCGCAACAAGGCTACTAGTCCTCATCCCAGAGGTAGGTCTGTTAGCCGCAAAGGCTACTATTCCTCATCCCAGAGGTTGGTATGTTAGCCGCAACAAGGTTACTAGTCCTCATCCCAGAGGTAGGTCTGTTAGCCGCAACAAGTCTACTAGTCCTCATCCCAGGGGTAGGTCTGTTAGCCGCAACAAGGCTACAAGTCCTCATCCCAGAGGTAGGTATGTTAGCCGCAACAAGGCTACTAGTCCTCATCCCAGAGGTAGGTATGTTAGCCGCAACAAGGTTACTAGTCCTCATCCCAGAGGTAGGTATGTTAGCCGCAACAAGGCTACTAGTCCTCATCCAAGAGGTAGGTCTGGTAGCCGCAACAGGGCTACTAGTCCTCATCCCAGAGGTTGGTATGTTAGCCGCAACAAGGTTACTAGTCCTCATCCCAGAGGTTGGTATATTAGCCGCAACAAGGCTACTAATCCTCATCCCAGAGGTAGGTCTGTTAGCCGCAACAAGGTTACTAGTCCTCACCCCAGTGGTAGGTCTGTTATCCGCAACAAGGTTACTAGTCCTCATCCCAGGGGTAGGTCTATTACCCGCAACAAGGTTACTAGTCCTCATCCCAGAGGTAGGTCTGTTAGCCGCAACAAGGCTACTAGTCCTCATCCCAGAGGTAGGTCTGTTAGCCGCAACAAGGCTACTAGGCCTCATCACAGAGTTTGGTATGTTAGCCACAACAGGGTTACTAGTCCTCATCCCAGGGGTAGGTCTGTTACCTGCAACAAGGTTACTAGTCCTCATCCCAGGGGTAGGTCTGTTACCCGCAACAAGGCTACTAGTCCTCATCCCAGAGGTAGGTATGTTAGCCGCAACAAGGCTAATAGTCCTCATCCCAGAGGTTGGTATGTTAGCCGCAACAAGGCTACTAGTCCTCATCCCAGAGGTTGGTATGTTAGCCGCAACAAGGCTACTAGTCCTCATCCCAGAGGTAGGTCTGTTAGCCGCAAAGGCTACTATTCCTCATCCCAGAGGTTGGTATGTTAGCCGCAACAAGGTTACTAGTCCTCATCCCAGAGGTAGGTATGTTAGCCGCAACAAGTCTACTAGTCCTCATCCCAGGGGTAGGTCTGTTAGCCGCAACAAGGCTACAAGTCCTCATCCCAGAGGTAGGTATGTTAGCCGCAACAAGGCTACTAGTCCTCATCCCAGAGGTAGGTATGTTAGCCGCAACAAGGTTACTAGTCCTCATCCCAGAGGTAGGTATGTTAGCCGCAACAAGGCTACTAGTCCTCATCCAAGAGGTAGGTCTGGTAGCCGCAACAGGGCTACTAGTCCTCATCCCAGAGGTTGGTATGTTAGCCGCAACAAGGTTACTAGTCCTCATCCCAGAGGTTGGTATGTTAGCCGCAACAAGGCTACTAATCCTCATCCCAGAGGTAGGTCTGTTAGCCGCAACAAGGTTACTAGTCCTCACCCCAGTGGTAGGTCTGTTATCCGCAACAAGGTTACTAGTCCTCATCCCAGGGGTAGGTCTATTACCCGCAACAAGGTTACTAGTCCTCATCCCAGAGGTAGGTCTGTTAGCCGCAACAAGGCTACTAGTCCTCATCCCAGAGGTAGGTCTGTTAGCCGCAACAAGGCTACTAGTCCTCATCCAACAGGTAGGTCTGTTAGCCGCAACAAGGTTACTAGTCCTCATCCCAGAGGTAGGTCTGTTAGCCGCAACAGGGCTACTAGTCCTCATCCCAGGGGTAGGTCTGTTACCCGCAACAAGTTTACTAATCCTCATCCCAGATGTAGGTCTGTAAGAAGCATTGCCTTGCGCATCCTGTGCCCTGTGCTCATCTCAAGTGTTCTGTGTTCACAGGCTCTTGATCTGATGTCTATAGAAGAGACGGCTGATGACTATATCTGGAAAACATCTACAGTGTTAGGCGGTCTTTTCTTCTTTTACATGTCTGAGCGGTTGTTAAAAGTTGCATTCCAAAGAGTGAGTCCTTGCTCCATATAACATCAATATGTTGTATTATAGAGGTGATCTTGTAATGATGCCAGAATACACCTGCGCTGAGTACATTTGTGTGTTTCTTTGTTGCTCTCCGTGAGTGACTGCGCGTCTGTGAGGGTCTCTGTGAGTGACTGTGTCTCTGTGTGCTTCTGTGAGTGATTACGGGTCTGCGTGGGTCTCTGTGAGTGACTGTGTGTCTCTGTGCGCATCTGTGAGTGACTGCGCGTCTGCGTGGGTCTCTGTGAGTGACCGTGGGTCCCTGTGTGCATCTGTGAGTAATTGCGGGTCTGTGACTGTCTCTGTGAGTGACTGTGGGCCTGTGTAGATCTCTGTGAGTGACTGCGGGTCTGTGAGGGTCTCCGTGAGTGACTGTGTGTCTATGTGTGCTTCTGTGAGTGATTGCGGGTCTGTGTGGGTCTCTGTGAGTGACTGTGTGTCTCTGTGTGCCCCTGTGAGTAATTACGGGTCTGCGTGGGTCTCTGTGAGTGACTGCGGGTCTCTGTAGGTCTCTGTGAGTGATTTCGGATCTCTGTAGGTCTCTGTTAGTGACTTCAGGTCTCTGTAGGTCTCTGTGAGTGACTGCTGGTCTGTGTGAGTGCATACTGCTGAGTAATTATGTAAGTGACTGTAGGTTTCTGTTTGTGTCTGTGTGTTACTGAGGGTCTTTATGTATCTGGTTCTGTGTTTATCGCTCTGTGAGTGACTGCTGGTCTGTGTGGGTCTATGTGAGTGACTGCTGGTCTGTTTAGGTATAGTGAGTGTATGTGGTCCTGTGTTGGTCTCTGTGAGTGACTGCTGGTCTTTGTAGTTATAGTGAGTGACTCCTGGTCTGTGTTGGCCTCTGTGAGTGACTGCTGGTCTGTGTAGCTATAGTGAGTGACTGCTGGTCTGGGTAGGTCTCTGTGAGTGACTGCTGGTCTGTGTAGCTATAGTGAGTGACTGCTGGTCTGGGTAGGTCTATGTGAGTGACTGCTGGTCTGTGTAGGTCTGTGTGAGTGACTGCAGGTCTCTGTAGGTCTCTGTGAGTGACTGCGGGTCTCTGTGAGTGCATACTGCTGAGTAATTCTGTAAGTGACTGTAGGTTTCTGTTTGTGTCTGTGTGTGAACGTGACTCTTTGTGTCTGTGTGTCTGTGTTTATCGCTCTGTGAGTGACTGCTGGTCTGTGTGGGTCTATGTGAGTGACTGCTGGTCTGTTTAGCTATAGTGAAACGTGTTGGTCTCTGTGAGTGACTGCTGGTCTGTGTAGTTAAAGTGAGTGACTCCTGGTCTGTGTTGGTCTCTGTGAGTGACTGCTGGTCTGTGTAGCTACAGTGAGTGACTGCTGGTCTGTTTTGGTCTCTGTGAGTGACTGCTGGTCTGGGTGGGTCTATGTGAGTGACTGCTGGTCTGTTTAGCTATAGTGAAACGTGTTGGTCTCTGTGAGTGACTGCTGGTCTGTGTAGTTATAGTGAGTGACTCCTGGTCTGTTTTGGTCTCTGTGAGTGACTGCTGGTCTGTGTAGCTATAGTGAGTGACTGCTGGTCTGTTTTGGTCTCTGTGAGTGACTGCTGGTCTGTGTAGCTATAGTGAGTGACTGTTGGTGTAGGTAGGTCTCTGTGAGTGACTCCTGGTCTGTGTGGGTCTCTGTGAGTGACTGCTGGTCTGGTTGGGTCCCTCTGAGTGACTGCTAGTCTATGAAGCTATAGTGAGTGACTCCTGGTCTGGGTGGGTCTCTGTGAATGACTGCTGGTATGTGTAGGTATAGCGAGTGTCTGCTGGTCTGGGTGGGTCTCTGTGAGTGACTGCTGGTCTGTGTAGCTATAGTGAGTGACTCCTGGTCTGAGTGGGTCTCTGTGAGTGACTGCTAGTCTATGAAGCTATAGTGAGGGACTGCTGGTCTATTTTGGTCTCTGTGAGTGACTGCTGGTCTGGGTGGGTCTCTGTGAGTGACTGCTCGTCTATGAAGCTATAGTGAGCGACTGCTGGTCTGTTTAGGTCTCTGTGAGTGACTGCTGGTCTGGGTGGGTCCCTCTGAGTGACTGCTGGTCTGTGTAGCTATAGTGAGTGACTGCTGGTCTGGGTTGGTCTCTGTGAGTGACTGCTGGTCTGTGTGGGTCTATGTGAGTGACTGCTGGTCTGTTTAGCTATAGTGAAACGTGTTGGTCTCTGTGAGTGACTGCTGGTCTGTGTAGTTATAGTGAGTGACTCCTGGTCTGTGTTGGTCTCTGTGAGTGACTGCTGGTCTGTGTAGCTATAGTGAGTGACTGCTGGTCTGTTTTGGTCTCTGTGAGTGACTGCTGGTCTGTGTAGCTATAGTGAGTGACTGTTGGTGTAGGTAGGTCTCTGTGAGTGACTCCTGGTCTGTGTAGGTATAGCGAGTGTCTGCTGGTCTGGGTTGGTCTCTGTGAGTGACTGCTGGTCTGTGTAGCTATAGTGAGTGACTCCTGGTCTGAGTGGGTCTCTGTGAATGACTGCTGGTCTGTGTAGGTATAGCGAGTGTCTGCTGGTCTGGGTTGGTCTCTGTGAGTGACTGCTGGTCTGTGTAGCTATAGTGAGTGACTCCTGGTCTGGGTGGGTCTCTGTGAGTGACTGCTAGTCTATGAAGCTATAGTGAGGGACTGCTGGTCTATTTTGGTCTCTGTGAGTGACTGCTGGTCTGGGTGGGTCTCTGTGAGTGACTGCTCGTCTATGAAGCTATAGTGAGCGACTGCTGGTCTGTTTTGGTCTCTGTGAGTGACTGCTGGTCTGGGTGGGTCCCTCTGAGTGACTGCTAGTCTATGAAGCTATAGTGAGTGACTGCTGGTCTGTTTAGGTCTCTGTGAGTGACTGCTGGTCTGTGTAGCTATAGTGAGTGTCTGCTGGTCTGTGTTGGTCTCTGCGAGTGTCTGCTGGTCTGTGTAACTGTAGTGAGTCACTGCTGGTCTGGGTTGGTCTCTGTGAGTGACTGCTGGTCTGGGTGTGTCTCTGTGAGTGACTGCTGGTCTGGGTGGGTCTCAGTGAGTGACTGCTGGTCTGTGTAACTGTAGTGAGTGACTGCTGGTCTGTGTTGGTCTCTGTGAGTGACTGCTGGTCTGTGTGACTGTAGTGAGTGACTGCTGTTCTGTGTTGGTCTCTGCGAGTGACTGCTGGTCTGTGTAACTGTAGTGAGTGACTGCTGGTCTGGGTGGGACTCTGTGAGTGACTGCTGGTCTGTAAAGCTATAGTGAGTGACTCCTGGTCTGGGTAGGTCTCTGTGAGTGACTGCTAGTCTATGAAGCTATAATGAGTGACTGCTGGTCTGTTTTGGTCTCTATGAGTGACTGCTGGTCTGGGTGGGTCTCTGTGAGTGACTGCTAGTCTATGAAGCTATAGTGAGTATCTGTGGATCTGTATTGGTCTCTGTGAGTGACTGCTGGTCTGTGTAGGTATAGTGAGTGTCTGCTGGTCTGTGTTGGTCTCTGCGAGTGACTGCTGGTCTGTGTAACTGTAGTGAGTGACTGCTGGTCTGGGTGGGTCTCTGTTAGTGACTGCTAGTCTATGAAGCTATAGTGAAGGACTGCTGGTCTGTTTTGGTCTCTGTGAGTGACTGCTGGTCTGGGTGGGTCTCTGTGAGTGACTCCTGGTCTGGGTGAGTCTCTGTTAGTGACTGCTCGTCTATGAAGCTGTAGTGAGGAACTGCTGGTCTGTTGTGGTCTCTGTGAGTGACTGCTGGTCTGGGTTGGTCTCTGTGAGTGACTGCTGGTCTGGGTGGGTCTCTGTGAGTGACTGCTGGTCTGTTTTGGTCTCTGTGAGTGACTGCTGGTCTGTGTGACTGTAGTGAGTGACTGCTGTTCTGTGTTGGTCTCTGCGAGTGACTGCTGGTCTGTGTAACTGTAGTGAGTGACTGCTTGTCTGGGTGGGTCTCTGTGAGTGACTGCTGGTCTGTAAAGCTATAATGAGTGACTGCTGGTCTGGGTTGGTCTCTGTGAGTGACTGCTGGTCTGGGTGGGTCTCTGTGAGTGACTGCTGGTCTGGGTGGGTCTCTGTGAGTGACTGCTTGTCTGGGTGGGTCTATGTGAGTGACTGCTGGTCTGGGTGGGTCTCTGGGAGTGACTGCTGGTCTGTGTAGCAATAGTGAGTGACTCCTGATGTGATGGGTCTCTGTGAGTGACTGCTAGTCTATGAAGCTATAGTGAGTGACTGCTGGTCTGGGTGGGTCTCTGTGAGTGACTGCTGGTCTGTGCAGCTATAGTGAGTGACTCCTGGTGTGGTGGGTCTCTGTGAGTGACTGCTAGTCTATGAAGCTATAGTGAGTGCCTGTGGATCAAGGTCACATAGTAGCAGCACAAATACATCGACACATTACCGATCTTTACTTTGTCATTTTGGGTTGGAATGAATATATTCAGAATGGAGAATAGCATGGATACGTTTTAGTTGCATTTTGAAATAATTCAAGGACAGGTGATGCTAACAGACAGTGTTCTTTGAATGTCTAATGTTAACACTCACAACTCAATCTCATTACGATCAAATCTAAACCGATTCTATACCTCTCTCTGTTCAGTAAGATTAACTGTTTCAGTCTGGAAAAAAAGAGAATGTTGCTGCTAGTGAAGTGGTGGTGGAGGAGGGTGACCTAGGGACTGAGCTGACTACACTGCAACCTGCTGCTAATGGAACAAGCGACATTGAAGACAAGCAATTACCACCACTCCCAAGTAATCAACCAGGTCCGATCAAGAAAGATAAGAAGCAAGTTCAGACAGTGGCATGGATAATGTTACTTGGAGATGGAATTCACAAGGCTGTAGATGGACTGGCCATTGGTGCTGCCTACTCTAAAAACATTAAAACCGGACTTAGTCTTTCCATTGCCATACTCTGTGAGGAGCTACCCCACGAACTGGGTAAGGCATTGCTAGTGTCTCTAACTGGTTGCAAGTGTCTCTAACTGGTTGCTAGTATCTCTAACTGGTTGCAAGAGTCTCTAACTGGTTGCTAGTATCTCTAACTGGTTGCTAGTATCTCTAACTGGTTGCAAGTGTCTCTAACTGGTTGCAAGAGTCTCTAACTGGTTGCTAGTATCGCTAACTGGTTGCAAGAGTCTCTAACTGGTTGCTAGTATCGCTAACTGGTTGCAAGAGTCTCTAACTGGTTGCTAGTGTCGCTAACTGGTTGCAAGAGTCTCTAACTGGTTGCTAGTGTCTCTAACTGTATCGTCGTGCTATCTGTACTATTGCCGCTGCAGTGCGTCAGAATGGACGGTCTCTAACGGAATGGTAGTTTCCCTAATTGGATGGTAGTGCCTCTAACTGGACGTTCGATTCCTGTTAATGTCATTCGAAACCAAACGCGATAGCGTTCTAAATTCAAACCTATAATAGAAACCACATAGGGTTTATCTCCTAATTCTACCATGCAATTGGGAAATACTCGATTGTGATTGGTCAATCTGACGTTTTACAATATATAGTCCCGTGGCACTGAGGGGGTTGCACATATTCTTGACAGGAAATGTGGATGGAATACACATGTATTCTGTGTGATTCTACAACGAGTTTGGAAATAACTCGCGGTGATGAGGCCGTAAAATCTGAGGTGTTTATTGTGAATCGATACCTCTGGCTGAAACACACTGTGTACACTGTGTACGATCTTTGTGACACTATGTGTACATTGTGTACGATCTGTGTGACACTATGTGGAACACTCCAATCAACCTCCACTCACTCGGAACAATCCCGTAGCCGTTCTGTATGTTGTCTGCGACAATGACCAAGGTTCTGTCTGGCTCACACGAGTAGGACAGAAATACAGCAAATGTGGCCCAATATATTGTGACGTGCGTCTAAAACATAATTATATGTTTACAGGCGACATCGCCATCCTCTTGCATTCGGGAATGTCGATGAAGAAAGCCCTGTTTTACAACACACTGTCAGCTGCTTGTGGAATTCTTGGTCTTGTTGGTGGCATTTCCCTTGGAGAAAACCCGGCAGCAAACCAATGGATATTTGCTATTGCAGGTGGAATATTTCTCTATGTACCACTTGTAGACATGGTAAGTTTGAAGTCAATGATTAATCCAGTTACACATGGATTTGTGTCTTGGATAAAAGCCAGGCCACGCTAGTGGGAAACACTGTAGATAATGAATAAATATTCTATTTCACAATGATACATGCATAACTGAAAATCCGAAATTCTGATTGTGGTACATCAATCTGTATTTTTTAGGAAACGATCAGAAACAAAATAATCTGTTTATCATATACAAATACATCCACGGCATTCCACGAATCATACAAATGGTTGAGGGTGATAATTCTCAAGCACAAAGTGATGCAGACCTTAAACGTTTATCACTTTGTCAAAATCCACGGGCAAGGGTATGGTGCTGAAAAACCTAAACGGGGATTCGAACCAACGACCATTTGTTTCTGGCGAGTTGAAAGCCCTCCACGGCAAACTGTGAGGACTTTAGATGATTGGGCCACTGGTGCCTCAATGTGTAAAGTGAGAGACCTCCTGTTAACACACTAATGTGATGTTGTTAACGTGTGCTATGTTACAGCTTCCCGAGATGAGTGAGGCAGCAGACAAGGCAATCAAGAATGGAGCGAGCGCGTTCGGTATCACACTGATTCAACTTCTTGGTTTGTGCACGGGATTTGGCATTATTCTAATAGTTGCCCTATATGCTGGTGACATACAGGTGTAGATGGACAAGACACACATACGATGGAATATTCAAAAACACATATAATGACTACTATCTAGGACAATTACTTACATAGAATTTAACATTGGTTAGTGTGTATTTGTTCAGTGATGGTCCAGTCAGTTATATGTTTATAGGTTTATTGTGATATGAAGAGCTTAGAGCTAAAAGGGGCCAAAGGCACTTTGGCCCTTTTCGCTTATTATTGAATAAATAACATCTATGAGTTCTTGTCTACCTGTAGAAAAAAATAGAGTATTTTTTCATTGATGCGTTTTTTAAATAAAGCCACTTAAAATTCTATAAAAGGGCCAAAGTCATGTTCCAAAAGGGCCAAAGTCACTTTGCTAGATTTTGGCCCTTTTGGTTCGCATTTTCGTGTGTGGTTGAAACTGGTTGTCTGAGAGAGATTTTGAAAGTTTGGACACCTTATTATTATATTTGAACTATTACAACAATGTTAGTTTAGTTTAAATCAATCAAAAGTACTTTAATAGTATGTGTTTGTACTTTCAGTAGTAGTTATCAATCTCACATGTTAAATCCCATGCAAATACCTGAGGGTCAAAAAGGGCCAAAATATAGACACTGGCCCTTTCCACCCTTACACAAATTAAAACGTAGGTTTATTGGCTTTTTAATTATTTTTTTATAACAACATTTCTATCTCTGCTGTCGGAATGCTTTAATGTTTAGGAATTTATCATAAAAAAAGAAAGTTCAATAACATGCATTATATTATGTGCTTTCATCACTTTCCTCAAAACAAACTCCACATGACATTGGCCCTTATGGCTCTAAGCTCTTCATATGTTCATGCTTGTGTTGTTACTCGAGTTTATTTGGGGCCCACCTTTTAATATTCTGGGGAGGTGACCTGGGGTTTTCTGAAAAATAGATCATCTTTTCCGGAAAATCCTTGGGACAATGATTAAAGCCATTCACAGAACATGCTGAAGAGAAATAATGTATTGATAGTGAAAAAATATGTGTCCCCTTTCAGAGAAAATACTTTGCATGTCTGGAAATCCTGACAGACTTAAAAACTCCCCAGATATTAATTGGTCCGTACATACATTTACATTCATCAAATGTCATGTTACAACCAGATTGTCAGTCATGTTGTATCAAGTCTCATGTTATGATGATTCAGAGCAAGCAGTTCCCCAAACTGAATGTATAGTATCAATGTGACCAGAACATCAGATGCCTGCTGGGTTTCCTTAGTCACGCTGGTCCTGAACTGCAGTTTAACTTGGAGGCGAGTGAATCGGGGAATGTCAACAACCAAGTTTATCAAATTTATGTAGCAGTGAAATAAGTTAAAACATAAAAACAGTTTCTTATTTGTGATGCTTCTAAAGACACCAACAATCTATCATGATAAATATGTGTCAAGATACTGAAGTACTTCTGAACTTAGCTAAGTCGTTACACCATACATACATTACGTGTAAGCAACTTCTATCTACAAAAGAATAAGTACAAGAAGCAATAAACAGAACTGCTTTATTAACTGGCTTTGTTCCTGAACTACAGTTATGATTTCTCATCCACAGTTGTGCTCACAGTTTGTTGTTCACCTCCAGTCATTTGCTAACGAGGTGTGGTAATGTCATTGGAAAATCCTGGACAAATATTTACACAAAACATGTAACCATGGTTGTCATGAGTCGTGTGATCTTGACATGAGTACAAGTTTATGTTCCACTCCCATTGCAATGTCAGGTCAAAGGCATTCAGTATGGAGACAGTTATCGATAGTGCTGGGTAAAATATTGAGTAAAACAGCAAGACTGTCTTAGTGTGGCTTTCAAGCGTGCCAGCTAAAAGTCACAGCAACGTGGGTCTCAGATGTTTACCGTTTTGGTGAACCCACAAGCACCGACATGGTGCTGACAAAGAATCATGACCAGGTCGAAACTGGGATTTGAACCAGTATAGTCATTGGATCCTGGCATGTCTGGGGGACATAACTCTGCACAGCTAATTTCAGGCCACAAGTGACCCATTTAGAAAAGTAGTTGGGGTTGATGAAATGCATCTTTTGTTGCAGTGTTCGAACCTTTGTGACTCGATTATTGTACAAAACACCAGAGGATAATGCATGAAGTGGTTAGCTACATCCAAATCAGAACAAAAACACCTTAAATCACACATACAGTACTAATATTCACACACCTTCCTGAAGATCAAACAGGACATTAAGCTAGGATATCACAAAGTGGTTATATCTTCCCCAGTGTGCTATATGGATATCCCCAGACAGACTACCATTAGAGACATCTGCCCGCACAGAAGAGTGAACAAGGGCATCAACCTAAAACTGACTGTTTCTATTCACGAAAAACAAAATCATGGTCATTACATCCATATTTCTGCGATGCCAAAACAAAAATCTCTTCAACCTTGATGTGGCTTAGGGGATGCCGGACATTGGCTCTGTTTGCTGTCATAGGACCATATTGATAGCATGAGCAACAACCACACAGTTTGTGCCAAAATGTGCCAGGTCAAACAGTAACGACCTGATCCTCCTCCCCAGTTATGTCTGAGACAACCACACATGGCCCTGTGGGCTACACCGTCCTTGGATCCCCACACAGACAAGCACATGGCCCTGTGGACTACACCATCCTTGGCTCCCCACACAGACAAGCACATGGCCTGTGGGCTACACCATCCTTGGATCCCCACACAGACAAGCACATGGCCCTGTGGGCTACATCATCCTTGGATCCCCACACAGACAAGCACATGGCCTGTGGGCTACACTATCCTTGGATCCCCACACAGACAAGCACATGGCCTGTGGGCTACCCCAATCATGGATCCCCACACAGACAAGCACATGGCCCTGTGGGCTACATCATCCTTGGATCCCCACACAGACAAGCACATGGCCTGTGGGCTACACTATCCTTGGATCCCCACACAGACAAGCACATGGCCTGTGGGCTACCCCAATCATGGATCCCCACACAGACAAGCACATGGCTTGTGGGCTACACCATCCTTGGATCCCCACACAGACAAGCACATGGCCTGTGGGCTACACCATTCATGGATCCCCACACAGACAAGCACATGGCCATGTGGACTACACCATCCTTGGCTCCCCACACAGACAAGCACATGGCCTGTGGGCTACACCATCCTTGGATCCCCAAACAAACAAGCACATGGCCCTGTGGGCTACACCATCCTTGGATCCCCACACAAACAAGCACATGGCCCTGTGGGCTACACCGTCCTTGGATCCCCACACAGACAAGCTTGTGGACCTGTGGGCTACCCCATTCGTGGATCCCCACACAAACAAGCACATGGACCTGTGGGCTACACCAGCCTTTGATCCCCACACAGACAAGCACATGGCCCTGTGGGCTACACCATCCTTGGCTCCCCACACAGACAAGCACATGGCCTGTGGGCTACACCATCCTTGGATCCCCAAACAAACAAGCACATGGCCCTGTGGGCTACACCATCCTTGGATCCCCACACAAACAAGCACATGGCCCTGTGGGCTACACCGTCCTTGGCTCCCAACACAGACAAGCTTGTGGACCTGTGGGCTACCCCATTCGTGGATCCCCACACAAACAAGCACGTGGACCTGTGGGCTACACCAGCCTTTGATCCCCACACAGACAAGCACATGGCCCTGTGGGCTACATCGTCCTCGGATGAGGTATATGAATCTGTACTTTTGAATGTTGTGTTACGTCTTGCCACGAACCCTTTACACTTAGCCAAGACAAGCACAACAGGGTTGAGCTCACAGTGTCTGAACGTAAGACAATTTGACCGTGTTGTGCCAGCACATATGTCTTGTACTTTATTGGTTTCTTATTCAGCCGAATTTTCTCCATGAGTTGAACTTTCGTTTCAGATGGTCTGAAGTCGACAATGTCATATATTCCGGTATGGTCGCCTTCATACTACTGATGGTTGGGGCGACAGTATCTGATTCCTGGGCGTTATTCATGACAATAACACTGACGTTGTTTAAAATGGGCAATAGCTGATGTTCTAACCAGTCTGTGAACTCATCACCTCCTGTAATTTCCTTATGAAAATCACCAGGTTTTTTTTTCGCCTCGAAAATTAGCACACATCCACAAATAAGCCCCATGTCATGGTTGGCGGCATGCAAAACAATGACACGATTACCTTTACCCGATGGTCTATGGGTGCTTTTTGTCCACCTGCCGATAGCCACATGTAGTCAGTGGAATGATTCATCAAGGTAAAAATTATTGTGACGCCCTGACAGTAATAGTTATGAATAGTCCAGAGATAATGTGACCTCATAGACAAGATGGAAAATTTTACTGTGAAAACTGCTGTATCAAAATCCTATCTCATGGAGAGCAATAGTTAGTGCAGTCAGGGAAACATTAATTGTATCTTTAATTTCCTCCCTAATTCTACTACATGTCAAGGTTACCTTCTGCTCACAAAGCTTGTACACTATACGCCTAATCACCCAGTATCAAAGCTGTCTAATATCCTTTTACGCCAGGTTTTCTTTATTTTAATACCACCCATATTCTTGTTTTTCATACTGAAGACTTGATGGTATGAATTGAAAACCCCTTAGCTTGGGCAGTTTGGTAATTCACCCTATCCAAATTAATAAATGGTTTCCCCCCTTCTCTCTAAAGTGTGAAGAACTTGTATACATTTCCTAGTACAGACTCCATGTCGTGTACCTTGGTTATGGCTATGCAAGTGTAATGTAACATGCATCATGGGAGCAGTGTTGACAAAACAAACACATTGTCATTTTGTCATTTTAGGTGATGCACGTCTAGAATTTTCTCCAAATGATTTTTGTGTGTGGAGTAGATGTTTCATGAAGACTACATTATTATCATTATAACGGAGACACATGCACATATTTCTATAGTCCGTTTCGGACTGCGATCATTGGACGTAGAATAAATGTTAACTTCCTGGGTTTTTTCGAATTTGACTCCTGTAAACTTGTTGATAGGACTCCTTGTGACTGAAATACTTCAAACCACAGGTAGGTCTATCGGTAGTTACTCGATAATTCAATAACAACAGTCTGTGAAAAATTCTATCCATTTTTAACAGGCAAAAAGCATTTTGCTAGCATTTCCGACAGTATTTTAGACACTCACTACAAAACTTCAATATTCCTTTCCAATTCTGCTGTCAGCAATCAATTAAAAGACAACAACTTTGATGAGCTATTGTGTTTATTCAATGAGTAATGATACAATACTTGATGACAGTGGCTTATAACATGATGTGTTATGGTTCAGTTTCTTCAGTTCTTGTGGTTATAGCTAGGGACATTTCCGCTCCACACAACCTTTGCCCCCTTCATCATACTCTTGCTTGGAGATCCACATCTGCTGGAAGGAGCCCTGCAATGACACATGCTTAGATAATCATCAAAATACTAGACACGAGGAATTAGTTTGTGGATACACACTTTATTTCTTTGGAAAGTGGTTAACTTTCTTCCTAAATATAGTTCCAGCAGAAAAAGTTTGATTGTGTAAAACCTTGGGCAAGGTTAACGCCCACATGCTGCATGCAGGCAACCGAAGTCATGACATGTAAGATTGAACACCCTTTCATCACCTGCCCCTGCTCAGTGGGAAAACAGTAGGTTACAATACTAAACATGGTATGTGAGGTTGCAGGTCATGAAATTTTCATGTGAAAAAACCTTGCTACTTTTAATCAACATTAGATGCATATCAAAAGGCTACTTATACAATATTGTAAAAAAATGTTTTATTATTCAAATGTAAAACCTCTCAGCAGGTCTCACCTATGAGATAGCAAGATACCTACAATACTACACGCAAAAGTGGCAGTTTATAAGCATGTAAGATGTCTATTTCACAATGGCCATCGACAGCCACATGATTAGCCTGTCCCCCTCTGCTGTATCTGGGCTTCAAGGTTGGACTATTGCAAGATGAGATAAATCACTGTTCTTAGAAGCAAGTTGAGTAGTTTCAATATTCAATATTGTTTTGCCTGCAATCACATTAAAATCAGATCTAAGTTCTCGATACTGCAAAATAAAGACCTGAGGTCACTTCAGACAAGTTTTCGCGAACATTGACCATCCAATGAAATGATTAAAAAGGTGTCGACATTAGCCAATCAGAAAGCAGCTTTCTCAAGTCTTATGGCACTAGTTTCAAACTGGCAACTTCCATTCCAGACTACGCTTGAGAAATGTGTTGACAAGGTTCTCGATTAAAAATGTGGAAACTGAACAAAGGACTTTCGCGAATGTTCGAAAGAATCAGTGGTACAGACCGTAACTGTCATTTGGAATACTGTGTGTTCACCTTTTCGGATTGCATGATTCGAAAACATATTCTGACTGTCACTTTCCTTATCTGGTAAGCGATGCTCTGATTGGTCAGATGAAAGGTCGTTCTGACATGACCTGTAATGGGATGTCCTCAGGTCATAGTTTAGCATAAGTGAGAACTAAGATCTGATTGTTTTGCCTGTGACTTGCCGTACCAGAGATGCTAATATTGATCCTCCAATCCAACTGCTAAACCTCCTCTCTGATGAACTGGATGCAGCAATGATCTTCAGACGCATGCTCTGTAAGGAAATATTTTCAATAAACAAAAGATATTGGTCTAAATGATTCACACACGTCTTTCATGGTCATAAATTTTATCTTAATGAAATTGCTGAATTCTTATCGTGCACATATATCAACCTCAACCTAGCATTGTCTTTCCTTGTGTAAAATATGCACCATCCTTTTTCTGGGGAAACATTCTATCTTATTAAAGTGCACAGTCATAAACTACATCGTTTTGCTTTAGCTGGAGCAAACAGGTAATATGAATAATATCAAAGGATGAAATATCAATGTAATTGTTAGTTAAACAGAAAAAAAGTTTGATAATAATAATAGTATTTCCCATTACCATAGGCAAAACTCAAAATCCAGAAATACAGAGAACCCTTTTGATTACAAAATAGTGTGAAAACTGGACTTCAATAAGGATTTAATGACATGCTATATCCGGTGTTACATGCTATCAATGATGTTTTGGCTTTGGGGATAAAAGAAAAATCGAGATATAAATGCATAAAATGCGAGCGGTCTTTGCTTGCATTAATTAAAATTTTGCATTTATATCTCCAAAATGAATCAACAATAAAAAACACATCACTGCACAATTTGTATTGCGGAAATACCGTCCTGAATATATACACAAACATAGTAACAAGTATATAACAATATCAATCAAAGAATAGAAATTACACAATAGGTATCTGGGGAGTTATCACTGCTGGGGTCAAGAGTTCTACCCACTCATGTCAAACTAGGCTTTATTGACCACTCCAGCAGTCCAGACAGACACCACCCATGCAACACTGTGTCAAAGGCCGGCACAACCCAGTGCTTACTGACAGGCTTCATCACACTTATCCTCAGATCTACAGCGTTTGTCCTGTCATCTTTTTTTCTAGTTTGTTGACACCTTCTCTACATACCAATCAGTGAACTGTTGTTGGTTCAATTATTTTATTGCCTTTGAACTTTCTTAATGCCAGTCAACAGAATAAATGTATTAACTGTGTGTTGTTTTTAAGAAAACACTGTTTATTGTCTTTACTGAAGCACTCTACTCAGTGCTAATAAGCAGTTCTATTTGCTGTTTGATTGGATTAAGACAAGGTTGGATTCAGGTAAGGATATGTATCATTCCACTGGGGAGGGGGGGAGAGCGTTGCATGAATATTGAGTTACATTTTTGGCTGGGGGTCAAGGTCGTGTTAATTTGGAGACACATTCATTTCAAGATGTACAGTGTATCTATTCATGCAACTTGAGGAACCCTTCAATGACAGTAAGGAAGGTGGAACTGTTGACTACTACTCTCTTACTGGTGGTGTCTTGGAGCTGAGGTCCCTGTTGAGCCTGTCTGTGAAACCTCCGACCAGGGTGTTACCTCCCACAACTATCACACTGCTGTACAGACTCTGCCAACACAAACACATGGTTCATCACAGGGCACATAGTTTTCAATGATGGATTCAATCATATAGAATTTAATTGTACAGTGGTGAACATAGTTGTGAAAATGGAAGCTTAACTATAGGATTATTATGGATTGTAAATGATATCTGACATGACCAGTACCAAAATAATTCCAAAGAACATTTTCTGATGGCAATAGTCTCAAGAGAGAACCTACCTGCTGCATTCAAATTCTGACAAAAATCAAGATGGGTGACTTTCACAAGACTTTTTAAACCTTTACAAGCTGAATCTATCACTTGCATGTATGACTACAGATATGGCAATGTTTCACTTCATCAGTGTCGACACAATGATCCCTGGTGATATGATCTGTGATGGAGATAAAGTTTAGTTTTGGGACGACGGAGCAGCACGTACCGGCCTGATGTCGATGTCACACATGCCAACGCTAGTGGTGACCACATGACCAACACCAAGCATAGTATTCCCCGGGACATCCTGCAACAAAAGCAACAATATAACCTGTTCTTGTCAGGTGGAGTGAAAACAAAACAAATCAAAACAGGTTTGTGTACTGAAATAACACTATTACTTGATAAATAATTACTTATTTCACTGAGATAGAAATAGATTAACGAAGGAATAAAATCTACATAATATCCCCTTTGTCTGGGGATGTAATGATTGATGTAGCGATAAGTTTTGACAGACAATGAAAAATAAACATATATAATCACCTGCAATAGCTAAGTCAGGTTAAATATAGAGGTACCTGTTACTCTCCAAGTTTGCCAAGTAATCTCCAAAGGAGATGATAATGCAACTATTACATTTCCATCCTCCACACCTCTCTACCAAGCACCCTGTGATAGTCAGTGGCAGTGGCAAATGACTCAAACGCTCCTAAAGATCACATGCTGTAGTGACCAGATTTTAACAGGAAGTGTGATTTACAGTTCCCCCCGCCCCTTGTTTGTTGACAAACACAGTACTGCCAAATGGTTCCAGAAGTAATGCGATGTGACAGTTCCGAGCAGGCTGGCTGTATCTGTATACAAACAATCCCAGAGTGATGTTACAACCTGAGTTGCATTGTCTCTACTCTTCAGCTGGAATGCATTATTCCAGATTCAAGAATTGACCACATGCCTCTTTCAAGACTTTCGACAGTACCCTTACATTGGCCTGTTACTTGTTGCTGCTGCCACATATTAGACCAATTGTTTTGCCTAATACAAGAGTGCTACACGATAAATCGCAAAGAACAATGACAAAACGACTTTACTTTTGAGAGGGAAGTGTCTTGTGACTTCTTCCCCATAGATGTAGCTGGGCAACGTAGATAAACGTAATGGCCAAATGATGGCATCTAAAGGTGGAATACATATGACAATCAGTATTGGGAAAAAGGTACAGATAATCAATGGGAAAATTGTGAGAATACACAGGAAATACCAAACGTAACCCTCCTGTTCATAAAATGGCTTGTCCAATATTGTTGAGGTCGGATTGTATTCAGGTACTCATCATTATTTAAATACAGGTGAAATTTTTTAAAGCTTGTACATTTTATAACATCCTTCAAGAGGCTGTACATAATGCTGAAATCTCATATAAGAAATAAACGACTCTTGGTCGTTTTTTATAGTACTATAAAACACTGCAGGGAGATAAAAAAATGCTCCTCATGATTTATTCTCCCTGTAGGGTTTGATTGTACAATAAACAACAACTATGAGTGGTTAATTGATCACAAACCTAAAACAGTGTCTTTCAATATAATTAATTAATTACTCATTGGTCTTGTGTGGTTTCACTGATTTCACAATCTAGTTCTGTACAAACTGGTTTCTGGGGGTAACCTTTCAAGTTCAGTTTGGAAATCACCTCATAACAATGTTTCCCATATATTTTAATAAAATCACTTTGGAAGAAATATCTGATAATCAATTTATTGTAACCTAAACTAGGCATTCAGCTTCAACAAATATAATTAATAACTGATAGCCAGGTAACTTGAACTCAAATGGTCATCATGACAATCTGGGATTCAAACCCACATCCATCGGATTCCGGCACAGCCAAATGCAGCACCTTTGGCATCTGGGCTACATGTGTCTGAAATGTGTTAAAGAGTGATTGATCCTATTTTATTTTGTTCAGAATGTACTATGCTTCTTTCGGCTACCTTTATAACTGAAGGGTCGAACAGTCCTTCACACACTCGGAATCTCTCTGCTCCAAAATCCTGGTTGTAGCCATTAGGAAACTCGTAGTGCATTGTTGGCATGCTCTCTGCAGTACTGGAAGAACATAGCAGTAGAATGGTAAAACACTGGATGAGAGTCTGGGTCATGGACATTTATTATTAATGTGTGTCTATATTTAAATATTATTAATATTTGCTTCCTGTTTCTTGGCATGTGAGCTAGTGAGTGAGCTAGAGCGTAAGAACTTAGTGAGTTGGGTGTAACCCTTTGATCAGTGTTCCAGTTATATTACAGCAGAGTAAGAACGTAAAATAAAATATGAGAGAGAATATATGCTATGCCCAAGCCCTAGCAGTCGTAGTGATAAAAACTGGAAAAAAAATGAGCAAACTTGAGAAACACCCTTGGTAGGATCATCCATATAGAAGGTTGTCCACACCATAAAGTCCAGAAATGGAGGGACAGCCAGCTGGATGCTGGTAAGAGGCAAGGTGAGCTTGACATCTGTGAACATACCTGTGGTGATGGGGTGTATCAGATGCTTGTATAACAGACTGAACTTATTACCTGGTTAGGTCATAGGGAGTATCAGACACTTGTATAACAGACTGAACTTATTACCTGGTGTCATAGGGAGTATCAGACACTTGTATAACAGACTGAACTTATTACCTGGTTAGGTCATAGGGAGTATCAGACAATTGTATAACAGACTGAACTTATTACCTGGTTAGGTCATAGGGAGTATCAGACAATTGTATAACAGACTGAACTTATTACCTGGTGTCATAGGGTGTATCAGACACTTGTATAACAGACTGAACTTATTACCTGGTATCATAGGGTGTATCAGACACTTGTATAACTGATGCAGCAAAGTCCTGGAACACATCCTGGAATGAAAAACTCTAAGTCTTTTACAGGAACTAAAGTGGGATTGGTCAATCTGTGTCAATGCCTTACCTGAGGCCTGGTGGTGTTACCCCTGTGGCCTGGTGGTGTTACCCGTGTGGCCTGGTGGTGTTACAAGTGTGGCCTGGTGGTGTTATCCCTGTGGTCTGGTGATGTTACACGTGTGGCATGGTGGTGTTACAAGTGTGGCCTGGTGGTGTTACAAGTGTGGCCTGGTGGGGTTAGATGTGTGGCCTGGTGGTGTTACCCCTGTGGCCTGGTGGTGTTACATGTGTGGCCTGGTGGTGTTACCCGTGTGGCCTGGTGGTGTTACCCGTGTGGCCTGGTTGTGTTACCCCTGTGGGCTGGTTGTGTTACACATATGGCCTGGTGGGATTACCCCTGTGGCCTGGTGGTGTTACCCCTGTGACCTGTAGGTGTTACCCCTGTGGCCTGGTTGGGTTACCCTTGTGGCCTGGTGGTGTTACCCATGTGGCCTGGTGGTGTTAACCCTGTGGCCTGGTGGTGTTACCCCTGTGACCTGGTGGTATTACCCCTGTGGCCTGGTGGTGTTACCCATGTGGCCTGGTGGTGTTACCCATGTGGCCTGGTGGTGTTACCCCTGTGGCCTGGTGGTGTTACCCCTGTGGCCTGGTGGTGTTACCCATGTGGCCTGGTGGTGTTACCCATGTGGCCTGGTGGTGTTACCCATGTGGCCTGGTGGTGTTACCCATGTGCCCTGGTGGTGATACCCATGTGGCCTGGTGGTGTTACCCATGTGGCCTGGTGGGGTTACCCATGTGGCCTGGTGGTGTTACCCCTGTGGCCTGGTAGTGTTACCCATGTGGCCTGGTGGTGTTACACCTGTGGCCTGGTGGTGTTACCCCTGTGGCCTGGTAGTGTTACCCATGTGGCCTGGTAGTGTTACCCATGTGGCCTGGTGGTGTTACCGCTGTGGCCTGGTGGTGTTACCCCTGTGGCCTGGTGCTGTTATGCCTGTGGCCTGGTGGTGTTACACATGTGGCCTGGTGGCGTTACCTTGAGCAGTTGTTCATGCATACAGGAATAGACATGGCCATAAGTCTGAGCCTTGTAAAAATCAAGAGGGACTAGTTGTTTTACCCCAATATCTAGTTACACTGCATTAATCTCTTGTCCGAAATGAGCTGCAGGCTGGCCAGGCACACATTCAGTTTGGTCAAATTCAGAAACCAAATGCACTTGTGTGACATCAAGATGGAAATGAATGCCTTAGTGGGATGTTTGTTCCCATATTCCCCAGCCGACTTCACTCACCTTGACCATGTAGTTGTGAAAAGACTTGGTGACACTTGGCACTTCCCTTTTCTGCCAGTTAGCCTTACTCATCTCTTTCACTTCTTCCTGAAATGTCCACACCCAAACAGGTTTAGTAGGCAGAGATAATTTTGTGCCACTGATGCCACATAAAGCCAAATAAACTGTAATTCATTGCCTGTTTCCAAACTGGGTTGAATAGATAGCTTGAAAAACAGGATTTCAGGAGTAAGTCTGAAACCCTTCTTGACTCAGGCCAACCTGAATTTCTGGATTAGGCAGCGATTTAAATCAAGTTAATTAAATGTAGATTAAGATTGAGAACATCTCTACCTGTGTAAACCTCAACCATACAATAGGGAGTAACGTGGACATGGCAAACAAGTGCTTTTACCAACAGAACAAGCCTAATGGCATAAAAAGTATGAGTGAGTGAGTGAGTGAGTGATTGAGTGTGCTTTTACGCCACTTTTAGCAATATTCCAGTAATATCATGGCATGGGACACCAGAAATAGGCGTCACACATTGTACCCATGTAGGGAATCAAACCGGGTCTTTGGCGTGACAAGTGTTCGATTTAACTACCCACCAAAACTATGAACAGAAAATGTACCAGTTTTGCTACTCATGCAAATAACATTTAGCTACATACAAATGCACAGTGTCATCCTCTATATCTCCTGGGATCACATTTCGCAAACCCTCCACTAATCCATGGATCCATTCCCGTGGTTCTCACCATCTCAAATAACCCACACTTGATTTTCTTTAGAATTCTGGATACATTTTTTAAAATTTCTTTTGATCAAGATGACAGTGTTATATTTTCCTCAGAAAAAACAAAGCTTTTATCAAACAATGTTTTCAAATCAGCATCCCGTTCATATTAATCCAAGTATTTTAGACTTTCATTTCAAAACATGCAAAGTTTAGAGTAGGCACATCTGTGAGAAACCAGGAAAATCCCTTTCCTCGTTGAATAAAGCATACTAAACGGTACGAGTTAGTCTTCTCACCTTAGACTTGATCATATAAGGCGGCACAACTTCAATGTCTAGTTCTTCCATTAGTTTCTTGCATTCTATTGTGATGAAGTCTCCTGCTAAGGGGGACTTTACTATACCTGAAAGAAATTAAAGCTAAGCATAAACTGATAACGTCAAGCCTTATTAATCAAAAACATTTGTTTTCCTTCACATGAAGAATGTAAGGCTTATATAATTATGATCCTAACTATGGGTCCCTGGAAATACTTTGCTTTTTAACAAATAAACGACTTGTGGTTGTTTATTGTATAATAAATCATTGCAGGGAGAATAAACCACGAGGGGCACACTGTGCAATAAAACACTGCAGGGAGAATAAACCACGAGGGGCACACTTTGCAATAAAACACTGCAGGGAGAATAAACCACAAGGGGCACACTGTACAATAAAACACTGCAGGGAGAATAAACCACGAGGGGCACACTGTGCAATAAAACACTGCAGGGAGAATAAACCACAAGGGGCACACTGTGCAATAAAACACTGCAGGGAGAATAATCCACAAGGGGCACACTGTGCAATAAAACACTGCAGGGAGAATAAACCACGAGGGGCACACTGTGCAATAAAACACTGCAGGGAGAATAAACCACAAGGGGCACATCACGCAATAAAACACTGCAGGGAGATTAAACCACAAGGGGCACACTGTGCAATAAAACACTGCAGGGAGAATAAACCACGAGGGGCACACTGTGCAATAAAACACTGCAGGGAGAATAAACCACGAGGGGCACACTGTGCAATAAAACACTGCAGGGAGAATAAACCACGAGGGGCACGCTGTGCAATAAAACACTGCAGGGAGAATAAACCACGAGGGGCACACTGTGCAATAAAACACTGCAGGGAGAATAAACCACGAGGGGCACACTGTGCAATAAAACACTGCAGGGAGATTAAACCACAAGGGGCACATCACGCAATAAAACACTGCAGGGAGAATAAACCACGAGGGGCACATCACGCAAAAAAACACTGCAGGGAGAATAAACCACGAGGGGCACGCTGTGCAATAAAACACTGCAGGGAGAATAAACCACGAGGGGCACATCACACAATAAAACCCAACAGGGAGATTAAACCACTGCAGGTATAATCTCCCTGCAGTGTTTTATTTATGATAAACAACAGTCGTTTATTTCTTTTATGAAATATCAACATTAATTACAGCCTCTTTAAGGATGGTAATAAAAGGTACAAGTTTCAAATATATTTGCTCATATTTACTTAATGACTCCTCCCTGAAAACAATCCGTTCCCAGCAATTCATTTCATGAACAGGGGGGTTAGGTTTGGTATTTCATGAGTCAAGACATTTAACAGTAAAAAGAGAAAATGTGCCAAGTGGATAAATGACAGCCATTATATGTACCTTTTTTCCATTATAGATAGCCATATCTCCCCCACTTTTGGATGCAAGTTGTGAGCGTATGTATGAAGCTTAACAAATGACGGACAAGATGATAGAACAATGTTTAAAGTGAAATAAACCATGTCTTGTTCTTCATTGTTCTTCGCAATTTAACAAGTATCTATCTGGTATGTATATAGTAATAATAATGCATAATAATCTTGGGACCCCCTTAATCTTGCCTTTTTATATAAGGGTCATATTACAAAACCCTTTGACTCAGATAATAAATTTCAAACAATATCTAATAATGACATATTAAGAGGAGACCATGCAGACATGGTAAATGGCTCAAACATGGTCTACATTTAGATGTAACAAACTTCTCTACAACTTGAAAAGGCCATTATCGTTATGATGTAATCGAGTGATGTGACGTAGGTCTTACACATAAAACACTTAATCTGGCGATACAGATTAGAAAGGTTGTAGTGGCTATATATGATAATCAGAGCATATCAGGGATTCATTCCCACAATTACCGAACCCCTGCAACCCTAAGGGATGCAACTCTCCATCAAGGAATGCAGCATCTGAAACAACTGGGCACCCTGGCCCCTGCATGGATGCCCGATTGATGCTGTTATATCATGATCCCCACTCACCATGCTGCAGAACATATCCATCGTACACTGGAACTGCCGATGTGTGTGTGGCACCACTGTCCAGAATTAATGCAGTTGAACGACCATTGGCAAAACTGACACCAGATAAGGATTACAAAACTGACAGACAATTTAATAAAAGGTAAATAACTAAAACATATATTATCATTTTATCACATGGATGATCTTCAGCAACTCATGCTTGTCCTAAGAGGTGACCATCAGGATCGGGTGGTCAGGCTTGGTGACATGATTGATGCATGTCATCGTATCCCAATTGTGTAGATTGATGCTCATAATGTCAAACACTGGACTGTCTGGTCCAAACCGCCGTCATACAGCTGGCTGACGTATTAAACAACAAACAAACAAAACATTGATTAGGCTACCTTTGGCTGGACAAAACTTAGATACCCAGAATGCAATATGAACAGAATTTCACCACAACAATATTTGATATCGGTGAAGATGGAAGTGGATCTTGGGGGACAATGAAATTAAGCTCATATTGATGATATCAAGGCAAACTTACAAATCAAAGATTTGAACATCATGATAGTAATCAGACATTCATCCTGTTGAATTTAAGATACGTCAATATCTGTTGCAACTATTGTTGAGAAAATACCCTGAAACAAAAATAAATTTAGTCTGACATTGATAATAGTGACCTATCAGGCTGAAGGTGGAACTACTTGACATGGCTGACATTGATAATAGTGACCTATCGGGGTGAAGGTGGAACTACTTGACATGGCTGACATTGATAATAGTGACCTATCGGGCTGAAGGTGGAACTACTTGACAGGGCTGACATTGATAATAGTGACCTATCGGGGTGAAGGTGGAACTACTTGACATGGCTGACATTGATAATAGTGACCTATCGGGCTGAAGGTGGAACTACTTGACATGGCTAACATTGATAATAGTGACCTATCGGGGTGAAGGTGGAACTACTTGACATGGCTGACATTGATAATAGTGACCTATCGGGCTGAAGGTGGAACTACTTGACAGGGCTGACATTGATAATAGTGACCTATCCGGCTGAAGGTGGAACTACTTGACATGGCTAACATTGATAATAGTGACCTATCAGGCTGAAGGTGGAACTACTTGACATGGCTAACATTGATAATAGTGACCTATCGGGGTGAAGGTGGAACTACTTGACATGGCTGACATTGATAATAGTGACCTATCGGGGTGAAGGTGGAACTACTTGACATGGCTGACATTGATAATAGTGACCTATTGGGGTGAAGGTGGAACTACTTGACATGGCTGACATTGATAATAGTGACCTATCAGGCTGAAGGTGGAACTATTTGACATGGCTGACATTGATAATAGTGACCTATCGGGCTGAAGGTGGAACTACTTGACATGGCTGACATTGATAATAGTGACCTATCGGGGTGAAGGTGGAACTACTTGACATGGCTGACATTGATAATAGTGACCTATCAGGCTGAAGGTGGAACTACTTGACATGGCTGACATTGATAATAGTGACCTATCGGGCTGAAGGTGGAACTACTTGACATGGCTGACATTGATAATAGTGACCTATCGGGGTGAAGGTGGAACTACTTGACATGGCTGACATTGATAATAGTGACCCATTGGGGTGAAGGTGGAACTACTTGACATGGCTGACATTGATAATAGTGACCTATCAGGCTGAAGGTGGAACTATTTGACATGGCTGACATTGATAATAGTGACCTATCGGGCTGAAGGTGGAACTACTTGACATGGCTGACATTGATAATAGTGACCCATTGGGGTGAAGGTGGAACTACTTGACATGGCTGACATTGATAATAGTGACCTATCAGGCTGAAGGTGGAACTATTTGACATGGCTGACATTGATAATAGTGACCTATCGGGCTGAAGGTGGAACTACTTGACATGGCTGACATTGATAATAGTGACCTATCGGGCTGAAGGTGGAACTACTTGACATGGCTGACATTGATAATAGTGACCTATCGGGCTGAAGGTGGAACTACTTGACATGGCTGACATTGATAATAGTGACCTATCGGGCTGAAGGTGGAACTACCTGACATGGCTGACATTGATAATAGTGACCTATCAGGCTGAAGGTGGAACTACTTGACATGGCTGACATTGATAATAGTGACCCATTGGGGTGAAGGTGGAACTACTTGACATGGCTGACATTGATAATAGTGACCTATCAGGCTGAAGGTGGAACTATTTGACATGGCTGACATTGATAATAGTGACCTATCGGGGTGAAGGTGGAACTACTTGACATGGCTGACATTGATAATAGTGACCTATCGGGCTGAAGGTGGAACTACTTGACAGGGCTGACATTGATAATAGTGACCTATCCGGCTGAAGGTGGAACTACTTGACATGGCTAACATTGATAATAGTGACCTATCAGGCTGAAGGTGGAACTACTTGACATGGCTAACATTGATAATAGTGACCTATCGGGGTGAAGGTGGAACTACTTGACATGGCTGACATTGATAATAGTGACCTATCGGGGTGAAGGTGGAACTACTTGACATGGCTGACATTGATAATAGTGACCTATTGGGGTGAAGGTGGAACTACTTGACATGGCTGACATTGATAATAGTGACCTATCAGGCTGAAGGTGGAACTATTTGACATGGCTGACATTGATAATAGTGACCTATCGGGCTGAAGGTGGAACTACTTGACATGGCTGACATTGATAATAGTGACCTATCGGGGTGAAGGTGGAACTACTTGACATGGCTGACATTGATAATAGTGACCTATCAGGCTGAAGGTGGAACTACTTGACATGGCTGACATTGATAATAGTGACCTATCGGGCTGAAGGTGGAACTACTTGACATGGCTGACATTGATAATAGTGACCTATCGGGGTGAAGGTGGAACTACTTGACATGGCTGACATTGATAATAGTGACCCATTGGGGTGAAGGTGGAACTACTTGACATGGCTGACATTGATAATAGTGACCTATCAGGCTGAAGGTGGAACTATTTGACATGGCTGACATTGATAATAGTGACCTATCGGGCTGAAGGTGGAACTACTTGACATGGCTGACATTGATAATAGTGACCCATTGGGGTGAAGGTGGAACTACTTGACATGGCTGACATTGATAATAGTGACCTATCAGGCTGAAGGTGGAACTATTTGACATGGCTGACATTGATAATAGTGACCTATCGGGCTGAAGGTGGAACTACTTGACATGGCTGACATTGATAATAGTGACCTATCGGGCTGAAGGTGGAACTACTTGACATGGCTGACATTGATAATAGTGACCTATCGGGCTGAAGGTGGAACTACTTGACATGGCTGACATTGATAATAGTGACCTATCGGGCTGAAGGTGGAACTACCTGACATGGCTGACATTGATAATAGTGACCTATCAGGCTGAAGGTGGAACTACTTGACATGGCTGACATTGATAATAGTGACCCATTGGGGTGAAGGTGGAACTACTTGACATGGCTGACATTGATAATAGTGACCTATCAGGCTGAAGGTGGAACTATTTGACATGGCTGACATTGATAATAGTGACCTATCGGGCTGAAGGTGGAACTACTTGACATGGCTGACATTGATAATAGTGACCTATCGGGGTGAAGGTGGAACTACTTGACATGGCTGACATTGATAATAGTGACCTATTGGGCTGAAGGTGGAACTACTTGACATGGCTGACATTGATAATAGTGACCTATCGGGCTGAAGGTGGAACTACTTGACATGGCTGACATTGATAATAGTGACCTATCGGGCTGAAGGTGGAACTACTTGACATGGCTGACATTGATAATAGTGACCTATCGGGCTGAAGGTGGAACTACTTGACATGGCTGACATTGATAATAGTGACCTATCGGGCTGAAGGTGGAACTACTTGACATGGCTGACATTGATAATAGTGACCTATCCGGCTGAAGGTGGAACTACTTGACATGGCTGACATTGATAATAGTGACCTATCAGGCTGAAGGTGGAACTACTTGACATGGCTGACATTGATAATAGTGACCTATCGGACTGTAGGTGGAACTATTTAACATGGCTGACATTGATAATAGTGACCTATCGGACTGTAGGTGGAACTACTTGACATGGCTGACATTGATAATAGTGACCTATCCGGCTGAAGGTGGAACTACTTGACATGGCTAACATTGATAATAGTGACCTATCGGGGTGAAGGTGGAACTACTTGACAGGGCTGACAGTGATAATAGTGACCTATCGGACTGAAGGTGGAACTACTTGACATGGCTGACATTGATAATAGTGACCTATCGGGGTGAAGGTGGAACTACTTGACATGGCTGACATTGATAATAGTGACCTATCGGGGTGAAGATGGAACTACTTGACATGGCTAACATTGATAATAGTGACCTATCGGGGTGAAGGTGGAACTACCTGACATGGCTGACATTGATAATAGTGACCTATCGGGCTGAAGGTGGAACTACTTGACATGGCTGACATTGATAATAGTGACCTATCCGGCTGAAGGTGGAACTACTTGACATGGCTGACATTGATAATAGTGACCTATCGGGCTGAAGGTGGAACTACTTGACAGGGCTGACATTGATAATAGTGACCTATCGGGCTGAAGGTGGAACTACTTGACATGGCTGACATTGATAATAGTGACCTATCAGGCTGAAGGTGGAACTACTTGACATGGCTGACATTGATAATAGTGACCTATCGGGGTGAAGGTGGAACTACTTGACATGGCTGACATTGATAATAGTGACCTATCGGACTGTAGGTGGAACTACTTGACATGGCTGACATTGATAATAGTGACCTATCGGACTGAAGGTGGAACTACTTGACATGGCTGACATTGATAATAGTGACCTATCGGGGTGAAGGTGGAACTACTTGACAGGGCTGACATTGATAATAGTGACCTATTGGGCTAAAGGTGGAACTACTTGACATGGCTGACATTGATAATAGTGACCTATCGGGCTGAAGGTGGAACTACTTGACAGGGCTGACATTGATAATAGTGCCCTATCGGGCTGAAGGTGGAACTACT